CCAATCCCCAATCCCCAAAGCCGAAACCACAAGACCCAAACCGATTCCTATGCCGATTCGCGATTCCCGATCCCATTCCCGGGCCCACTGGCCATGTCTCTTAATATTTTTGACATATTGGCCAGGGCCAGAGCCTTGGCCACAAGTCTGGGCCCTGGCCGAGAAGCCTCTTATTGTTGTTCGCTCCTTCCACCGAAATTTTCGAAAAAAGGAAACGGCAACAACAACAACAAAAGCAACAAACTGAAAGAAACCCAGCTCGAGTCGACTTGAGTCCGCTTTCAGTGTCTGCGTTGCCTTTTCGCATTTGAATTGCAAATCCTATTATGACTTGTGAAATTATAATTTTTCTAGTTGCCTGGCTGAGGTCCCCAACTCCTGCCCCTGCTCCCCTCGTCGCCCAATCTCCGTGGGTAGGTTCAAGTCCAGGGCCCCATGTCCATGTCCAGTCATAACCGCAGAAGGTTCAATAGCATGAATTATGCATATGCAGACGGTTTCGTTCTTTTGGTTTCGTTTCGTTTCGGGAAAATCACAAGCACACGCATCCACATGCACTTAGTTATGATAACGTTGCACATTTCTGACTTCTCAGACTCCTAGACAGAAACAGAGACGCGGCCTCAGACTGCAGCTCTTCATATTTGTTTTGGCCGGCAATAACGCCCCAAAAGAACAGCATCCGCAGTAAGCACTGAGAGAAATATATGCCATATTGTTTAGCATATTGCAGTTCAAGCAGTAAAAATATAAAAAATAACGAGGCGTCAGGAATCGATGTCATCTGTAGTACAGATTCTGTACATCCCAACTTTATATCATTTAGCTTTCGGGATCTCAAAGTTTAACTCCATGAGTAACGGAAAACCTATCTTAAATTCTATACCATGATCATTTATTGTGTTATATAAAAATAAAAAGAAACCCTGTACTGGAAAGACGCCTCCGTTATTGTAAAAGGTATTCAAGAAGTCGACGCAATTTAACAAATTTTAAAATATTACTTTTGAAGACGTATTAAGATAAGAACCTAAAGGTTGTATATGGCATTCATTTTTCATGCTAATCAAGAATTTACATATAATTTCATGTTCTGATTTTTTTCTCTACATTAAAAAGCCGATTACAACACTTACACAATACTTATTTCTTTCAATGCCGAGCTTATGCTTTATGCGTAGCAGCTGCTGGCAGCATAGATGGAGATGGAGACGACTCTGACGACGCCCCCTCTTTTGGGCTGCTACCGCAAAACTCGGACTGCAGCTCTTTTGGCCTTAACTCGGGCTCGAGATCCAACTGGTGCTGGTGCTGGTGCTGATGCTGATTCTGGGCTGTTGGACTGCAGCAGGCCTTGCTGACAGAACAAAGAAGTCGTCCATTTGTAATTGTTGTTCCTGATGCTGTTTGGCTGTTTCTGTTGCTGTTGCAATAAGGGCAGCGAAGACATGGCAAAGGATTACCAAAGCAACGCACATCCCCATACCCGTACCCATATACCATACCCATTCCCGAACCCAAGCCTATACCAAACCCAAACCGAGAGCAAGAGCTACAAAAAACCATCTCGTACATTTGTTAAGGCAGTCAGACTGCGCAGGCTTGCATATCTTTTATGACTTTTGACTTGACTTTGACTTTGCCTCCTTAAACGCCCTGGCCAGCAGAAGTTGAACGACCCCAATGACTTGGCTCCACTTGGTAAAGGTCCAAAAGCTCCGTGGTCAAGGCTGCCCACATAAAGGTTACTGGGAAATATATCTACCAGAAGCTTAACATTTGGAGACAGCATTAAAAACATTTTTATAATTAGCAAGTAAGCAGTTTTGTAACTTATTAAATTAAAGAAAATCCTAGAAAACTGTACAAATAGTAGGGCTTTAATTTGATAACGTTTAATTATGATTTATTAAAATACTGGAACATAGAAAGCCATGAATATAAACGCAAAATACGTCTGCACTGGTTTATTTCTAATGCTCTTTCACATGGGCATTCCCAGGCAATTATGGATTTCTACTCTTTAAAGTTTAAGCCCTTGGCCAGATAGCGTGGGCTACTGCAATTTGCTTGGGCAGTTCTCCGTCTCCAGCTCAAATTAGATGTCAGTGAACAACTCAACTTGAACTGGTCTTAGGCCTAGGTTCATAGTGAAGACATGGCCTCGCAGTGGTATGACATTACCCCAATGGCAGCGTAAATTTGCAAATTAGACGCAGACAACAAAGGCATTATATATGCATTATATAATGCCAAACGAGCTAACACAAATGATCGGAGTCCAAGCCCAAACCCAGGCCAAAGTCAAATCAATTTGCTGCAGTCCAGAGCCCAAAGGGAAAACGGAAATGGAACCTGGTCCTCGGAGGCTCTCGAAGCAGGCTTCTTCTCTGTTTTCTCATCATTAACATTGTCCCGGTCAAATCCAGGTATGCAGATGAGGCTAAGCCCCCAACGATCCCTGGCCAACAGGCGAAACATGCGTACTTACGTCTTAGACTATTTGTTTCACGAATTCGCGGCGCATTTTACTTGGAAAATAAACAAGACGTGCCTTAAGTTTGCTGAATTCCAAATACTCTTCGAATGCTAGGGCATATTTTAGAAAAAGGTTTCTCTTTAAAAAGTATTAATTGTTGTGGCGAACTATGGGATGTAAAGTCATAATACAGGATCAGTTCCAAATTATAAAAACATAACCACTTGGACCACTAGCAAACAATAATATTGTGCCCCTGCAACCAACTGAATAGGTTTTCATTTATATCCAACGGTCCGAGTGTGCCTGATCTCTAACCAGCAGAGGCATTCTGTCCGTCGGTCCAAACAAGGCAAAAGGCATGTCCATCCTTCCTATCGTAACAAGAGCAATTTGTTCTAATGCGCCATGGCAGCGGCAGCTGCTGGAGATGGCGAGGCTAAATCTGTGGAAGAAGCTGAAGGAGCTGGAGTGCCTGACTTGCAGTTGCAACGGGCGTGGAGGAGCAGGAGTAACCGAGTTAGCTGAGATTGCAAAAAGGGCAGCCACTGAACACGCAATGGCCAGAACAAATGTAGACATTAAGCTGCTAGCCGGGACAAGGGTTCGGGAATGGGAAGGGGATGGGGAATGGGATGGGAGATTGGCGGAGATTGCAGCAGCAGCTTCAGGTGACAGACACGCAATGGCCAGACCCAGGGAAAATCCGCAGTCTGGGCCTGGCTATCATAAAATCATAACTATATTTGATACATAAAATTTTACATACATCTCCTGGCCAAACAAATGGGTCCCCCACCATCCGATTCCTTTGGTTGACACTAACGGTCGCGTCAATAAATTCGCTGTGCAAATTTCATTAATTGCTCTGGGTGGGTGGAAGGCGGGGGCCTCGAGGAAAGTGGCGCGGGCAGGTGCCACAACGCCTGCGGATGCCACCGCTGCTTAGAGCCTGGTTCGCATGCAGTGCGCTGTTCGCCATAAAAAATATTTGCCGCCTTAATGTGAGTGGCTTATAAATTTGTGCACAAGCCCAGACCATTTATGGCCATCGGGCAGACCCATGGGGCACTTGTACCTAACTGTTTATGTGGTTAGATGCCAGCCTGGTTGGGTGTGCCTGGGTGTTTCTGTGTGGCTCGATGCTTTTTTGGCTGCATTCAAATATGGAATGCAGCAGCCAGCCGGACATGTCTTAAAATTCTTTAGATGAGCCTCTAAGGTCACGAACACCAATCCCTTGAATGAAAACCATGATTGACAAATACCACTGACCGTTCTTCAATTCAATGCACAGACAAGCAGTTGTGGGGAAATATCATTTGATATCCCTTGATTTCTCAACAGTTTTTAAAAAAAGCTTTACTTTTGAGGTTTTAAGAATTAACTATTTTTAACTCACTCCCGTTGAAAATTGCCCACAATTAATAAACTTGTATTACTAAGGTTGATTAAAATTTAAAAATAAGCGTGTGATTTAGATTTAAAAACATTTCCAATTTCTGGCCAGCTAAGCACTTCGGAACCTTACAGCATTTCAACAACTGACTAATTAGTTCGGTAAGACAAAAGCCGATGAGCTTTAGGTACACTACCTACTTCAGACATTATATGGTATAACAAGATTCCCAAGGTGTCCTAATTGGAAGGATTTTGAACTCTTCTTATTCCCAACTATTTCTACGTAGACCAACCTGGTTTAATTTACAAATTTTATCTTGGTAAAAAGCAGTTAAGCTACTTTAGTACACACAAAAAAATTTGATTGGTAAAATTGACCAACAAAGATAGTTACGTAACTATTAAAATTGTTACGTGTATTTTGTTTTTGCTTCGGGTTTGTGTCTTTGCTAATTGTGTGTATTTTGTTGTTGTGAAATGACTATTTACTTAGTAGAATTGACAATTTTACTGGTTGGGGCCTGTTTGACAATTATTACAGTTGATTTTACCAAGTTTTTTTTTTGTGTGTAAATATCATTTACAACTTTTCGGCAGTCAAAATAATTTCATGTTCCTAAATAACATAAAAGAATGTTAATGAAACTAGTTGCAAACCGATTTAAGCCCACAAATGTATTCACAAATGTCATTTGTCAGATATGTACCTCTAAGAAAATATTTCCCAGCATTCGGCAATGAAGATTAATCACAAACAATACTCTTTATTTATTCAAAAGCAGGATTTGCGTATTTTGATTTGCATTTCATTAATTCCGTTGTACACTTTAGATTTGCACTTTTTACACATTAGCTTGTACACTTTCGAGTTATGCGGAAAAAAAAGGCTAGGAAAGACGAACGGCAATTAAATGCATGGCCACAAAGAGTTCAATTGTACTTGAGCTGTTAGATCCACACTAGGTAATCTTATGCTCTGGCAAGACTAAATATAAATAAAATATGTTTTGGGGGTTCAATTCAATCGAGTTAAACTTAATATTATATAAATTATTGCATCCAAATTCGTTCTTAACATTAAACCTTCTTAGTAGGAAAATTACCAAGGAAAACTAAGTCATTCATTTTTCAAAATACATTCTTTTTGGTATCAGCAAAATTGGGATTAAAGTAAATTAAGTCATGAATATGATCAGTACTGCAAAGTAAATATGTATCTTTGGGATAAGTTATTTGGTTGGGTTTCGTTCTGCAACTTTGGGTTACTAGACACTAAACTAAATGGCAAGAACTAGTTCTACAAATCATCCTATGGCACACTTCCATTTTGCGTTGATTAGCAACTCCTGATTTCTACTTCTGCTTCATGTACATGGTGGCAATCTTGTCAAGAATCGTGTCAATCGACAATAATTCTTCGCTGAATTTCTTCATTGTAGGTGCTGGCACAATCCATTTGAGGAACTCCTCCACATTCATCCGGAGCCTGGCCAAAGGCGTCATCGTGGCATCGTCGTGCGAGGGTCGTTGAGCCAGCTTTAGGGATGCAATGATCACATTATCGATCAGACGCTTCTCGTAACCCAACTGGCGCAGCTTCTGAGCGGAGCTAATCTTCTTCAGCACCACTGCCATGTTAAATCGAATGGTTGAGAGGACCTGGGCGTCTTCAGACTGACTGCCGGCAGACTCGTCTCCACCCGCAGGACACTTGGCGCACTGCTCCGCGTGCGCCTGCAATTCGACCTTGATCTTGAAGAACTCGTGGCAGCCATCGCACATGTAAGGCTTCTGCTGTTTGTGAATCTTCTTCATGTGGTTCTTAAGGTGCGCCAGCTGCGAAAAGGCCACGTCGTCCTCGCAGAGTTGGCAGCGAAAGGGCTTCTCGCCCGTGTGCTTCCGAATGTGCAGCTTTAGAACGCTGGAATGGGCGAAGGTCTGGTGGCAGATCTGTCGAGAGGAGAGATATGAGCAATAGTTTCTTGCAAGCTAGGACTCCGGCAACTTACCCTGCACTGGTAGGGCCGCTCTCCCGTATGCATCCGCATGTGGACATTGTACTGGCTCTTCTGGGTGAAGTACGTGTTGCACACCTCGCACACGTGCGTCTTGACCGCCGCGTGTTTCTGCATGTGGGTGGCCAGATCCTCGTCCGGCTCGATCATCTTGTGGCAAATCTCGCACTCGAACTGCGTCAGCTTGTGGTGCTCCTGGTTGATGTGGGCTCGCAGGGCCAGCTCGTTGGCAAACTGGCTCTCACAGATGCCGCACCGGTGCTCCATGCCCTGCTCGTGGCGCTCCATGTGCACTCGGAGATTGGCGTTAGTTGAGAAGCTGGCCGAGCACTTGGTGCAGTTGAACTGCTGGATGCTCGTCTTGTGGTGAGAAACCATGTGCTGCTGCAGCTGTAATAAGATAAATAAAAAATTGGTTTCAATCTATATATCTTAGGTGTCATTCCTTTCAAATAAATTTTTATACAATCGAGGGACTAATAAAACTGAACAGTTCTGTATGTTTATACCCTTGTAGAGGGTATTATAATTTCAGTCAGATGTTTGCAACGCAGTGAAGAAGACGTTTCCGACCACATAAAGTATATATATTCTTGATTAGCACCAATAGCCGAGTCCATCTAGCCATGTCCGTCTGTCCATCTGTCCGTCTGTCCGTTTCTATGCGAACTAGTCTCCCAGTTTTAAACCTATCGCGATGAAACTTTCCCGAAAGTCTTCTTTCTATTGCAGGTAGTACATATGTCGGAGCGAGCCGGATCGGAACACTATATCTTAAGGCTCCCATAGGAATATTCAAACAAATATAAGAAAATTCATTATAACTTTGTAGGAAGTAGGCTTTTTGATTCTTGACTACTTAAAAACAAAATTTAAATAAATAGAAACGCTGAATCTGGAATCCCTGGAACTGCACCGAGTAAGCATTCTTTAATCTACAAGGGTATATAAGCTTCGGCTGGCCGAAGGTAGCTTCCCTTCTTGTTTTAAATGCTATATCTCGAAGAAAAAACACAGTTTTATTTTGGTGGATAAAAAACAAAAATAATAGTCAAAATATAAATTAACTGTAAGCCTTCCTCGTGAGTTCGTAAACTGATTAATAATATCTTAATGTAGGGGAGTGTGACGTCACGACTAAAATTTCAAATAAATGTAATCGTCTCCCCTTATCTTGTCGACAATGTATGTACAGTAATTTTAATAACAAGTCCCATAATTTCTCCGTGAGGTTTTTTTTCTAAAAAGGTGGCACGCAAATTAGCAAACCTATTCCATTTTTTTGTGTTTTAGCCGTGCCAGAGTGAAGATGTGTTGAAAATAAAATCAAATAAATACATACACGTATAAATGAGATCTTTATCAACAGTTTTTGGTATCGAATCGTAGATGAAAGCAACTTTCTTTATATTCAAAAAAAAGAATCGTTCGTCACCTTACCCTACACTCCCCTACCTATTTATTTTCAGCTTCAACAAGGCAGCACTTATTTGTGCAAATCTAAAGAGCGTCTTGAGAATCAAGAGTTCCTTGCAAGTGGTGGGTTACTCACCTGGCCTCCCCGGGCGAACTTCTTATCGCAGAGGGCGCACGGATACGGCTTCTCGCCAGAGTGAAGGCGCATATGGAGGCGCAGGCGCTCCTTGAGGGCGAAGGACTTGGGGCACTGGGAGCAGGCAAACTGCTTGCGGTGCTCGTGGGCGGTGGTGATGTGGTTCTTGAGGTTGACCGCCTGGCGGTAGCTCTTGCCGCAGTCCTTGCACTTGTGTGGCCGCTCGTCCGAGTGGATGAGCATGTGACGCTGCAGATCGGTCTTGCCGCCGAACTCCTTGGAGCAGTGGCTGCAGACGTGGTGCTTCCTCTTCACCGGCTCACCCTTGCGGGCCGACTTCTTCGCCAGGGGCTGCACGTAGTCGGCGTCCTTGGAGTCCTGCTCGCCGCCGTCTTCCTCATCCTCCTCCGCACAGGCATTTCGCAAGCTGGCCAAGCTGCTCTTTCGCCGCTTGATCGAATGGGTGAGCGCTGGAGAAGATTCCCTCGCCGCCGGCGGCGAGGACAACGAGATCCCGCTGTCCGTGAGCAGAGAGACAGCATCTTCCTTGGACACACTGCGTCTGCTGCGTACCATTTGTTTTTTTTCGTTATTATTTACTTGCTGTTACAATACTTTTGGGGATCTCTCCTTGGGGGACACCGGCACCAGCTGCGTTTTGCTTTACTTCTAGGGTTAATGCTCTACGTAATTTACGGTATTTAGATTCTTTTTTTTTTGATTTGATTTGCTACTTTTAGATAAGTTCCCATACACCTTTGGTTTGTATTAGTTTAGATGGGCTGCAAAAAAGTTAAGAACTGTTTAATTTCTCCACTCGCAGACCGCCACGTTCCGAAGCAGACGGAGAATCAAAAACACAGACAGAAATAGTAACAGTAAGTGAGGCCGAAACAGAAACAAAAAGAGAAACAGCGACAGAACAGAACCTCCAGCTGTGTCAACAGTGATAAGACCTAGGAATGCACAGAAAAATATTACCAAAATTATCTGTCAATTCAGGACTTTGCATATTTAAGAGCTATTGGAAATGGTCTGATTTTAGAAAAGATCTGCAGACATATTAACCGCGACAAATTTCGTATTGTTTTTAGAACTTTTTAAAATGACGGGTGAATTTAGATAATTAATTCTCGAGTCTAGGAGTAACATTAAATAATTTTAAATTAAATGAAAAGTTATACAGTCTCATTATTTTTTGATTTTCGATAATAGCCGTCCAACATTGTAATTATTTTATTTAATAAGAATTTAGATAATAACCCTATGCTATCCCCGCTTTTTCACTGTGTAGAAAGCTAGGAGCTCCCTAGCCTCGATTTTGATTGTTTTATCATATGGCATTTTTCAGAGAACGCAAGCTTCCAGAAATTTTCCCAGTTTGTTGTCTTAATCTTTTGTTTGAGCGGGAGTAGGATGGAGCTATCGTCCGATAAGATCCCGAGGAAGGCAACCACTGATAAGCAATACGGCTGGACGATAAGACCACACACTCACATACACACGAACACCCACTTGAGGAGCTATAGATATATATAGATATAGCTGTGCAACCTGAGCGATCCGGAGTCGTCTGTTCTCCGCGGCAGCGGAGTTTCCAATGAAAAGCGAGCACAAAGAAAATGCAACTGGAAGAGAGCGATGACGATGACCCTGGACGGCGACGAACATCTGGCAGATTGGGAACCCTCCGATTCCAGCCAACCCCTGGCCCTGCGCAGGGTTAATGGTTCATTAGAGCCGCACCCGCAGAAGCTGAAAACTAAAACTCACTTAAACAACACAACGGCCCTCGGCCAAACTGTTGAAAAAGCGAATTAAAGCTAGAATCCGGAGCTGGAAATCGAAACTGAAAGAGAACGGGGCAAAAAGCACGAACGACAGCGAAAATCACACACAAAAAGCGAAAATAAAGAAGTGAATACATAACAGCAGTTTTGTAATGCTAAATAGGCGGGGTAATGGGTTGCAAGGGGTTGGGGTGGTTAGGGGCTATGAAAAGGGGAGGAGAGGGCCGTTGAAGTCTTTCGTATTCGAAGCACAAAACTCGACGAGTCCAGCGTTTTTGGGATCTAGTTCTAGAATCTAGATTGACATTACCAGCACCACAGCAGAGTTACATACGATCTAAGCAATCAATACATACAGATGCTACATATTGGACCTAGAAGGTCCGCCGATCCATCACCGAAAACCAATTAGCCGTGGACTTACCCTCGCAATCATAGGAAATCGCTAAAGCCATCGATCCGCAGGAACCACTCATCACCCCCGATTTGGACACACCTTGACTTCCTCTACATTCTGCGGCCAGCAATAAAATTCGGTTCTTATTTGTTTATAATTCCAACGCCCTCTCGCTGTGTACATACATTTTGCAATCCACTATCTGGCAGTTTGCCTACGTTTTAAGGGCGTATCCATCGAACTGCCCGGGGTTTATTCTGAGGACCACGAAAGTTTACCTGTCCAAAACCGCGTCCGATTTATTCAACAAAATAAATAACAGTTTACGGTGGTTTTTCGTTGTGTTGTTGTTCTTAATCTTAGTGATGTGTATCTTCCGACCGACGGTCACACTAGAATTTCTGCATGCCTAGAGATGGCAGCGTGATTCGGTGCCACTGAACTATTTCAAATAAAAATGTTACTTGTTTTCTGACAAAATCTTGCTTTTTATTTGTTCAAAGTATAAATAATTAACAATTTATGTAGTCGTGTATAGGAAATCTGATCTTTAAAAACCTTTAAAGTTTTGTACATCGTATATATTCTTTATTTAACAAAATTATATATAATAAATTTCTTAAAAATTTTACCTTAATTTTGTGTAATTTTAAGAAATAATTAAAACCTTTGGAGTATTTTGGCATTTTGCTTAACATTTGTGTCAGTGAATTGCACGGGGATGCTCGACAAGCAAATAAAAAACAATAATTACCCTCAATTATTTTTAAGGAAATTCAGTTTTCATCCATTTTTCATCCTGAAGATTGTAAAATTGTTGAAATTTTTGACACTTGCATAAAATTTAACTATTCAATAGTTTAGGGAATACCCTTGATATTTTACACTCCGCCTGTCTGCGACCATTTTTGCACACTAGCACTTGTGGCAACGCTTAAAAGGTCTGGCATCACTGATTCAGAAACACGCGCAAAGATATGGAAAATAGTAGTTAACTTAACACCGGTGTTTATATTAAAATACTCTGCTTAAATTAAGCCTGCTCATTAAGGAACACAGCACTACCTCCGTGTAAAGAGTACGAGTACAAAATCCAAACCCGACACAAGGTAACACATTTGGTGCTCCGCTGAACTGATTCCCAAATAACCAAAGTAATCATATTCGCAGCTACCATGGCTGGCGTACTTTTCGAGGACATCTTCAACGTGAAGGACATGGACCCGGAGGGCAAGAAGTTCGACCGAGTGTCCCGCCTGCACTGCGAGTCCGAGTCTTTCAAGATGGACCTCATCCTGGACATCAACTCGTGGCTGTACCCCATGGAGCTGGGCGACAAGTTCCGCCTGGTCCTGGCCACCACGCTGCGCGAGGATGGCTGTCCGGACAGCGGGGAGTACAACCCCATGGAGCACGAGGGCACGCGGGCGGACAGCTTCGAGTACGTGATGTACGGAAAAATCTACCGGATCGAGGGTGACGAAGCGCACAACGAGGCCTCCCGGCTCTCCGCCTACGTCTCCTTCGGCGGCCTGCTGATGCGACTGCAGGGAGACGCCAACAACCTTCACGGCTTCGAAGTGGATCAGCACATGTACCTCCTGATGAAGCGGCTGGCCTTCTGAGTTTCCCTTCTACTTACTTCCGTTCGAAAATTAGACATAAACAACAAACTTTATTTACATGGTGTGTATAACATTGGTGGACTCCGCTCTGGGTCACGATGGAGAACGATGTAGTCTACTGCCTGGATGGTCGTCTGAAGGGAGCATTCACTATCAGGCGTGCTGGCTGCGGGCGGAAGGGAATGCGGCGATCCACGAAGGGCAGAGCCAGTGGAGTTGACGGGAACACTGGAGTTCCTTTGATCGCATTCACAATCTTGGCCGGCTTAGGCCGCGGACGAGCAGAGAGCTTGGCAGGACGGCGCTGCGGAGTCAGAAGAACCGGTCGCTGCGGTCGGAAAGCCAGGCGGCTCAGCAGCGGGAGAACGTACTGGGCCTGAGGAGGCAGCGGCAGACTGGCCAGATCTATGATGGCTGCGCTTTGGGGCAAGGTGCTCGAAGGGTCATCACTGGCGGGTTGATCAGGGGGGCCATAGGTCTGATCTGGGGGACCGTAGACTTCAGCGGGCTCTTCCACCACCGCAGGCGGTCCGTAGGTGTCTGCTGGAGGTCCATAAGTCTCTTCAGGTTGAGGAAACTCCACCGCCTCCTCGGTGGGCAGTTCGAATGGCGGATCGGGCACCAGACCGGCTGGTGGGTACGGTGCTTGTTCCTGTCCTTGCAGGATCAGCGGCAGGGATCTACCCCTCGCGGGTCCTGGGAACCTCAGGTGAGTGGCTTCGATTCCATTCAAGCTAAGAATGGAACAAAGGGCGAGGGTGGCCAGAGCTGGATAACCGAACATTTTGATATACTATCATGAACTGTTGCATGGTGAGGCTTAGTGTCGTCTATAAATACCCACTAGGGATGCCCTTGGGGACTGCCCAATCCATTGGCCCGAAGAAACCACGAGGCCGATGACTTATAAGGCGGCTCGAACGTTACGTGCCCATTGCGTTGATGACTAAAGAGTGTAAGCACAGGTTGTTATGAAAACGTAGTTAGATTTCCGTAAGTTATAAACAAAATTATTGGGTTTTAAATGGAATGAATCAAATATTTATTGTAACGTCTTAGTAGATACACAATTATTTTTTTGACCAATTAAAGAATTTGATTTTGTGGTAAGCAGCTTAGCAATAAATTCTAGTCTAAGTCTTTCAAAGACTCCTTGAAGTCTACCAACTGCGACGCAGGATCAGTCGCTGGGGGACGGGCTGTTGGGAACGGCGTCCTTGGGGGAATCGCTGGTAGAGTCGGGCGGACTGGGCCGGCTGTGGCTGGTCGAGACTGCTGGCCACGACGATGACAGTGCCATCCTCACTCACCTCCAGCTGGGGCTCATCCTCCTCTGGCAGCAGCTTGGCGCCATCCACCGACTCTTCCTCAGTTTCTGGAATATCATCGGTCTCGATAGGATTCTCAGGCTGCGACTCAGGATCGACCTCTGGAGGTCCATAAGTATTATCCGGGGGTCCATAAGTGTTATCCGGAGGTCCATAGGTGTTATCCGGTGGCAGATAAGTGTTCTCCGGCTTGACAGTCGAGCTGGGAAGATCAAAGGGAACACTTGGTGTGACTCCCGCCTCTGGGTAGCCCGTGGGTGACGGACTGGGCGGAGCCTCTTCTTGCCGGGCGGAGAATCTGCGCCGGAGCGGCTCTGCCGTACCTAGAGCGATCAGGCTCAGGACAAGAACAACAATTGGTGCAGAGCTGGCTTTGATCATTTTCGCGGTTGAAGGGCTTCTGTTCTGATTTCCCAATCCGAGTTGGCTTATTTATAGTCCCAAGCTACCGGATCTAGTTTTGCTATAATTTATGCTCGTCACTTTCAGTTTTCAGGCTCTTGTTCCCGGTAAAGCTTTGATTATGTTGCGCCGATCGCTGATCGCTGGCTTCAGCTTAATACACGGTACGTGACCTTTTTTCGAAATTAAATGGCCAATGCTATGATTTCGAATATTATCCCCTTCCCCGCCATGGGATCATTCATTAACACTTGAATTGGGCTTTGGGGTCGCTGTGAACATTTGAGAATGATTGTTTTTGGATCTTGGGTTCTTGGCAGTTCATAATTTCGTTTGATGAATTTGGTATTCATGTGAAGCAAAATAGGCTATGAAGAAATCCACTGAGCTTGCAGTTCAAGAAGCACGTTCCATCCATAGGCTAACATATTCATAGTTTCTATCAGGGTCGATAAAAAAAGGGGTGAACAAAAAACATTAATTTTTGAAAGATAATATTGAGTTTTGGGGTAAGATTATATATTTATCTATATAAATATAAAACGTTAATAATTTAAAAAATTAATTTATTTGTTTTTTATTGTTAATTTTAAGAAGTTCTTTTTGGACATTGCTAAGAAATAAACAACACTGGCTTTTCACCTTGTTCCAATAAAATGTATCTTAAATTTTTATTTATTATTAACTTTTAATCAATGATGCCAAATTCTTGCATAATGATCAGTGATCATGTGCGTTTGGCAGAACTATCGTAAGAAATCCATCAGTGATCAGTGATTATGTTGTTCTGCTGAACGCGGCCAATTATATTTGGGGTTCCAATTGATCGTCACTATTTTGATTCTACTGAAACCCGTACACATACAATACATTAAAAATATCAGGCTACTATAGATGAAAAAAAGTGGCAAAAAGTACTTCAGTAAAATCCATTGTAGCTAAAGAAGTAGAGGTCGCCCAACTTTGTGATTGGACAATCTTGAAGTTAAGGGTTCAAAGTACCTTTTCCGCTAAATAGTGGCTCTGGGCTACGAATCGTTTTCTTACTATTAAGTCGCAAAAAGTGCCTAAAAATCGAAAATTTGGAACTTTGACCACGGATTTCTCAAAACTTCGACGTGATGGAAGTATGAGGTAGTAATCTACAGCTAAAATCCTTTCAGGTTTGGTAGCTTTTATTCTTGGGCTTTTTTTTGTCGACCAGTGTAATTACTGCTTCTAGAAAATTTTATTTTTATAAAACATCTTTAATATGAACGTGTTCTTAGAAAATATCGAATAGATCGATATATTATAGTTGTCTTGGCATCTCTATTAAAGCGCTATATAGAACAGATGTTCTGATTTGAAAGTAGATAACAAACTACCTCTCGAAAACAAAACAAGAGCTAAGGGTTTGCTCAAAATACAAACTCAAAACTATAGATAAACCGACTGCGAGCATTGAGCTCGATGGACGTGGCCGAGGACAGCGATGGGCCTTCCTCTTCAAAGCGTCAGAGGCACAACACATGTTCTCGGGAAGGCGTTCTCGAAGACACGGATCAGGTTGGGTAAGTGTGGTGGCTAAGTAAACTCTGCGGCGTCCATTACTGACTAGTGTCACACATAGCGTCAGCGACAACAAGCTTAATAACTTAGTTGAACGGGAACAGGAGCCTATCGCGGAGACATTGCCACGGGATGTTTCTCCTTCATTCACTTCGTCTGGGTTCAACCGGCAACCCAACAACGACTTCGATGAAGAGTGGCATGAGTTCCTGGAGGAGACCGTGGAGAGCGATGAGCAAGAGACAGACGAGCCCAACGAAAACCACGATGATTTTGATAATTCCTCTGAGATAGCAGCAAGTATTTCAATACATTAATTTTCTATAATTCCATAATTATTTTCATTAGTCACGCAAACTCCTATCCATTTTAGGACCCTGACATCAATAATGAACTTGACTCTAATTCGGAGGTGAGCAACAAGTATTGTTATTAAATCAAACTAATTTCGAATTCTGGCTAACTCATTTTGGTTATTTATCATTTGTTTAAAGTAAAAGGTTTAAGTAAAATCATTTAAATACATATTTTTTTAATTGTTTAATGTTTTATTGAGTTTGAGCATCTTTCGGAACAAACGTATCCATGTAAAGAGTGAGCATTTAAGCATTTATATTCAAATATATATGTATTAAATAGTCATACAAGCAAGCGAGGATCTTATAATATGATTTTTGTACCCTTGCATTATAAATTTCGTCAGAAGTTTGTAACGCAGTGAAGGAAACATTTAGAACACTTAAAGACATACATATGTAGTCGATATAGCCATGTCTGTCACTCTGTTTCAATACCGTTTGCGAGTTCAGTTTAAAAGCTTTTGATTTAAATTTTTCCAAATCGTATTTTTTTATGCATACCTTATTTATGCTATTCAAGTCAAATTTTCATTCGTGAAATCTGCAAGGGTATTAAAATTTCGGCATTCCGAATCTAGCTTCCGTCATTGTTTTTTATTAAAAGGCTAATAACAAATCTGTCTTTCCAGGATGATGATATCGATTCTGAAATAAGTAATTCAGAGGTAAGCAAAGTTGTTCTTTTTGTTCGTTACATTTTTGGAATCGATTTAAGCCTATTTTATTTTGATTTTAAGTTATGGCTAAGCGATTTCGTTTATTTAATTATATTTATTTAATTTTATTTATTAAACATGAGTTTTACAAGGGTAGTAAAAAAGTAGTTTGACATTTTGCAATGTTCCTCGTAGGCTTCTTCGAAGTTATGTCCAAAAAACCGCCTTTTTGATTAATAGCAAAGAAAGGTTAGAAAAACCACAACAACTGTACTTAATTTTCAATCGAAGGATTAGTGTCCAAAGAGTCCAATATAAAAGTTATACAAATTATTTATTTTACTTTGTAAGTAAGTTTTTCAATATTTTTATCCCAATGCTGGGGAAAGGGTAGTTAAAAAAGTAGTTTGACATTTTGCAATATTCCTCGAAGGCTTCGCAATTGACTTCAAAATGGTGTAGGAAAAAGTTATAGCCAAAAACAGCCTTTTCGATGCCTTTATTTATAGCTGATATGTCTAGCCAAACTTTTCCCACTATTCTTGCACCACTCTCCCCTAACGTTTTTAAGTAAAATCAATTCAGAATAATTTGTTTGGATTTACAAGTTTAAGAACGTACTTTTACAAGCTCAAACATTTTTATAATAAATTAAATAGTCATAAAAACAAGAGAAGATTTAGATTAGTATATTATGTGTCTAAATAAAAGGTAGTAAGAAATAGTTCTGTCTTTCCAGGACGAGTACAGCTTTTCGGACGCCTTTTTTACTGAAGTAAGCACAATGCATTTTTAGAAACTGATCGCAACAATATAATTATTTATTATATAATTATATCTATCCTGTGAGGTTTGTTCAAAAGCGCTCGCCGAACGCGACCGATTTCATAGCGTTGTGGGCAAGACCAAGCCAATGTACCATTGGAACAGCGATAAGGAGTTGATGCATCGTGAGCACAACATCATCAATCGGATTGGATGGCGTGGAGGCCACACCTCTGACCAGAGTTTTGGCGAAAGGTATTACAGCTCCCGCCAGGTAACGGGACAGCTAACTCTACTCAATACGCTGATGCCTCGATACGGTAACTCCCTAAACTTCAACCAGGATGGGGATTTATTGTGCGTAGGTACTGATCGTCACGTGATCGTCTGGGATTGGGCTAATAATAGGACACGGATGATTTTTCGTCTGGAAGTTAAAAAGAAAATCATGCAGATCAAGTTCATAGACAGCGCCGGCTGTTTGGACATCGTTTCCGCCAGCGCCGATGGGCAGGTGCTCCGCTCCGTCATTCACCCCTCCGGCGGATCCCCAATGTCTTCAGTCTGCCTCTATACACACAACGTTTGCGCGGCTGATTTCGCAATAGTCCCTAATAGCCGTCACGAGATAATAAGCGCTGGTCATGATGGAGTCGTCAAGCTCTTCGATCTGCGCACCAGCGATGCGGGCACCACAACAGTACGCTGCGTCCGCCAGGACCAAACAACGGTGGCCCTGTACACCATCGCTCATCATCCGTATGCTCCGGAATTCTGCGTTGGCGGAGACGATGTTAAGCTGAGTGTTTATGACAAGCGCAGGCTGAAAATAGCTATCCACGAAATTACACCACGCAATCTAAAATCTAAACCGGACATCTGCTCCGCCGTCTACAATCACAACGGTACGGAGATCCTGACCTGCCACAGAAGAGCTGGCAACTATTTGTTCGACAGTCGGAGTTACACGGAAGGCGACTATTTGCACTACTACGACAAGCACTTGTAAGTCTGTTGTCCACAATTTCCCTCCATTTCATTTAGTCTGATGCTTTCTATCTACAGTTGCGAGATAAATTTCTTTGGACCCCGATCGGAGTACATTGTTAGCGCCGATTTCAAAGGCATATATTTTTGGGACAAGAACACGGAAGCCATCATCAGCGAAAATAAGTGCAAAAAGGCCGAGTCTGTAGCCTGCCTAAAGCCGCACCCCTGGAAGCCGGTGCTAGCCACCGCTGGACTAAACGAGCCAGGAATCCATGTTTGGATTCCAAATGGCCCTATTGAGTAGGCTGGCCCTTTAAAAGTGTCAGAATTTAGAATATCAATTTGTATATAAACAAGAGAACGCTATAATCGGGTGCTCCGACAATTAGTTACCCGTTACTCAGCTAAAGCGAGTGCGAGGGAGATGGATATATAAAACTTTGATCGGGCATAACTTTATAACGAATGGTCTGATTTAAAAATTTTCTTCTACATTTCGGTAGGTATTAAAAAACACAATAAAACCCTCGGCCCTCGGCTGAAACAAACTTGCGCTGCGTAGGAAGCTTAAGGTAATCCCACCTTTCTAGCTTTTGTAGTTTCCGAGATCTCAGACGGACAGACGGACATGGCTAGATAGACTCGGCTAGTGATCCTGATCAAGAATATTGTACTATGTACTATGTTCACTGTGTACCAAATACATGAAGAATTTTGAAAAGTTTGAAACACAGTATTACAATGCAGCATTTTTAATGATTTTTAAATTTACTTCGATTGATGCTATATTTTTGGATTCGTTACGAATTCCCAAGTTAATCTACGTTTTCCAAAAAGTTCCCCGACGCAAGGACCTCAAAGCTCGAAAAATTCAGAAATTGGCCAACTTTCCGGAGCTCTCAGAGGCAAACGGATTCATGGTTTGATTCGATTTTAAAGTTTTTTAAAAGATACACTCTTTATCTTTCAAGCCCCATACTTAGAAGAATTTTAGGATTATATCAATTATAAATGCTCCCGGATGAACACGGTAATGGCACTAAGTAAATAATTTCAAATAACAATTTGAATGTATTTTTATATATTCAACAAAAAATCGTTTATTTATTTAGTAACAAAATGAAGTATGTGTATGTGTTCGATTCCATTTGTATATCAACAAATTTGGGCTGACCCATTTTAGATGGAATATACCAGCACTGGTGAGGAGCGGATGATCTGGGCGTTTCGGAGCTTTTCCGGGACGGGCCGACGGCTGCGAAGGCGTCCATTACGAGGCTGGATCAGACTGGCGGGAACGGGTTCCGCAGCATCCACAGGAGCCTGGTCAACTGGGACGATGTCTGCCGGCGGTCCATAGGTGTTATCGGGCTCTGCCGGGGGTCCGTAGGTGTTATCCGGAGGTCCGTAGGTGTTGTCCGGCTCAGCTGGCGGTCCGTAGGTCAGATCGGGCTGAGCTTCCGTCTCCGTGGGCAGGTCGAAGGGTACTTCCGGTGTGACTCCCGCTGGGGGGTAAGGAGCCGAGGCCGGAGTGGGGGCAATATCCACGGAGGGAGAGGGATCTGCCGGAGCCGACTGATCCTCTGGAGCCTGCTCCTGACGGGCAAACTGGAAGCGAGAGGATCGGCCTCGGAACCTAACCGGTTCCGCCAGAGAAACGGAAGCAATGGCTGCGATCAGGAGCAGAGAGCAGGTGAACTTGTAGGCCATGTTGTGCTGCTGTTGTGTTGTCTTAGAATGTTGTCAATACCTGAAATTCGTGGGTCTTTTATACCCCAAAGTTTTGGCCACTCATATTTGGCACACCGGGGGACACCCTTTCGATGGCCTACGGACGTGACAATATTTAGTCAAGGGCCCATGTCTAAGCCATAACCATTTATTATAACCCGTCGTGGGCAGTTAACTTTGACACTTAACTTGGAAGCACTGCGTAAAAAGTATGCAAATGGAAATTACAAATTGAAATCAATGCTTCTGTGATTATTAATATAAATAATTATTTGTAAAATGTATCCAGATTTTCTTAATAGTCTCAAAACGACGTTTCATATTTAGAACAATATTATACCATTTAAATAGGATTTTATAAATGTTAAAAAATAGATATTTTTGACAGAAGCGAAGAAATGGCGATGCTTTATTTTTGTTTAATATAACTTAATAATATAATTACGTAAATATATAATCAACACTTTTTAATTCTTAAAAAAAATTCTGTACATAATTCTTGTTGGCCCCTGAAAGTTTCGTCATGAGACTTCCATTACTTTCTGCATAATTTAATAAATCAAGGAAAATCAAAGCATATAATTCACCAAATACTAGTTTATCCAATTCTGAATTGGGAATAAGATTTTTTGTATTTTGTATTTGTAAGATAAATTTGAATTTAAGTTAAATTATGAAATAGCTATATTGTTGGGCAAAGTTTTTTTGGGTATACCAAAGAAGAAGATAATTATATCTAAGGTCCACCCAAATAGCAAATTGGTCAACTAGGGCTAGAGTTTTGACAGCACTTTAAATTCCACTCCACTGTGCGGCGCCTGCTTGACATACGCACTTTGATGGCTTTCAAATCGCGGCGCTCTGCTTAAAATGCACGGCGCTATCGGGCGGGCTAGAATAGCTCACCACTGACCGCTGATCAGCAGGGCCACCGTCGTTGTGTTGTGGGTATAAAAGTTAAAGCTCCATATACGACAGCCAACATAGCACCACTGCAAGTCCCACGATCATGGCACGTTATCAGCTTTTCAGTTCGCTTCTCCTTCTGGCCGTCCTGGCCGTAACTTGCGCCGCCCAGACTCCAGTCCGTCGCACTCTGCGCCTGCGTCCGGTGGCCTTTGCCAGACAGGAGGTGGCGCCCACACCCTATCCTTCGGCTGCGGAACTCAAGCCTGCCGCCGAACAGCCCGCTCTGACCTATGGACCCCCCGAAGATGTGGACACGGACGCCTTGCCATCGGAACAGGAGCCACCGGTGGACAGCTTCGAGCCCAACCCGGAGACCGAGGAGGTGGATACCGAGGAGAGCTCCCTGGAGGCCACCACGCCCTCCTCCGCTCCCGCACGCCTGCGCATCCGCCAAAGATTGGCCAAATTGCAGCTGGCCAAGCCCAAGCGCCTGCGCCAGCGCATCGCTCGCCTGGAGGAGCTGCCCGTGGATGAGGCAGTGGCTCCAGTGGTTCCGGCCCCCCAGGCTCCAGTGCTGACTACGCCCCAGTTTTATTATGTGGGGGCGGGCCAGCAGCCCTATTACCTCGCCTACAACGCTGCTCCCCAGCAGTTGGGCTGGTAAGCAATAGCTCCAGTGTTTAAATTAATCACTGTTCGGTTTGAAGTTGTTTTTGTCGTTGGAAATATATTTTTGGTAATTAAAAACGGTGTGTTTGTTTTATCCGATTAAGCTGGGATAACCTTTGTTTAGGTAGAAGCGTTACTTTAAGACAAACTTTGACGATAATTGGGAAAATAATCGCATTTATAGGTAAATGTAATATTTGTATTTATTGCCCAACTCAACACTACGATTAGAGTTATCCCCTCAACACCAACCCATTGCAAATCATTGGCTTTTAACAATGGCCTAGAAAGAGCCCATTGTGGAACAACTCCCTCTCAGTCTCCTTTGCATATCCCCTTGACATGTGAATTGCTTTGGCAGCTTTTAAAAGGTTTCTTGTTCTCGTCTTTTTAGTGCATATTTTTCCCGGAGTTGGAAGGTCTTTTGTAAACTTAGTTCCCCTTTTTCTATGCATTTTTAATGCTTTGTTTTATTTTAAGCTGAAGTGGCTGGATCACGATTGGAATTTTGTATTAAGCTGCAATTTGGTCGACCCTTTGTAATACACAACTTTAAAATTGATAGAAGTTTAAGTGCAAGTAAAGGGCAATAACGCTATAGTTGAAACTGACATTGTTGTTGTTATCCATTTAATGACAATTTGCTACAAAAAAGTGGAATTCTAATTTTTATACCCGTTACTCGTAGAGTAAACGGAAGCATTTCCGACATCTTTAAAGATTTCGGAAAAGTAAGTATTCAGTTTTACAGTGCTTGTCTCTCTTATTTTTAAAAAATTTATCATAATTTATTTTGCCTTCGCCAATTAACACATTCTGTTTCTAATTAAAATCATGAGAACTCATAAATATTTACTAAAGCGGATGGGGGATATAAGATTAATCAAGTAAAAATACATTTTAACAATGTAAAATGTCATGAAGAAATCTACGATATCAAATTTTGTGACCAAGAGCTGATGTAATCTAATCGAAAACACCTAATCAGCTTTTGGTGTTAAAATTTAATTTAAGATTCTGTCAATTTAAATGGACCCAAAATAAATCTTTGCAAAACTGTTAACAAAATTTATTCCATGTAATTTAATAATTTAGAAAACCAAAACCCGTACGTCTTTTAATAGAATTTTATATGATCGAAAACATAGATTTTCTGAAAAGGCTGCATTTCTCTAAATTATGGAAAAAACAAGAAAGGAAGCTACCTTCGGCCAGCCGAAGCTTATATACCCTTGCAGATAAAGTAATGCTCACTCGGTGCAGTTCCAGCGTTTCTATTTAAATTTTGTTTTTAAGTAGTCAAGAATCAAAACGCCTACTTCCTACAAAGTTACAATGAATTTTCTTATATTTGTTTGAATATTCCTATGGAAGCCGGCTCGCTCCGACATATGTACTACCTGCAATAGAAAGAAGACTTTCGGGAAAGTTTCATCGCGATAGCTTTAAAACTGAGAGACTAGTTCGCATAGAAACGGACAGACGGACAGACGGACAGACAGACAGACGGACAGACGGACAGACGGACAGACGGACATGGCCAGATAGACTCGGTGCTGATCAAGAATATATATACTTTATGTGGTCGGAAACGTCTCCTTCACTGCGTTGCAAACATCTGACTGAAATTATAATATCCTCTACAAGGGTATAATAAAGTCCAATTTATAAAATATGGTATGATTCCAAATGCCATTGAATTTATTTTAAGCAGTTGCGGATTCAGGATTTGATTGTGAGGGTGGCTTTTATAAATATTTTGTTCTTTTCACTTTTCACCCGAGTGAATCCCTCGGAAATCCTTGGATCCGCTCATGATTTGAAGTGATTTTTCTGTGATTTTTTTTTTTAATTGTTTCCATGGGAGTCTTTTAATGTTGAACGATTACATAATTGCTATAAGTCATACAAATTTCATTCAATTTTAGCCGCCAAAGGAATTTGGGCGAGATTCCCAAGCGCCCACATTAGGATTCCTACCGCTCCTTAGGTCCTCGATTGCTTTGTAGTTTAAGAGCCAGAATGGCTGCTGTTCTTCAGGCAGCTGACTCAATCTGTTTACCAAGTCCCAATCACCTTGGGCATCGATAGGTAATCGGTCGTCCGCACTTGAATACTCATTCGTATTGTAGGGTAGGACCACAGGAACTCCAATAGGCGGCCTTTGGGGTGCTCCGTAGGGTAGCTCAACAGTGTTTCGCGACAAGGATGAGTCCCTGGGTCCCGTAACACCGAAAATGTTCTCCAGAGCTGTGTTTTGAGTTCCAAGGTATTTGTCCCTCTGACTCAATCCATCTGGAGGTCTTAAACCCGCATAGGAGGGCCTTTGAGCCTGGATAATTTGAAGAAAACTCATTGTAATGATACCCACAGTACACATATGTTTTAACATTTTTGTCTATTAAACTAAATTTGTGTATAAGAATTTTTCTAGTGCTTCTCGAGATGTTAACTTCTTGAATATTGTCTAACAAGTGAGTAGAGGTCCGGTGTAATATTATTTAAATAACTTTAAATTTTATGATTAAACAGAAAAAGAAACAACGAGTTAATTAGGTGCTTAATGTGCACAAATTTGCATCGCACTATAAACAAGAAAATCGTCATATAACCGGAGTCAAAGGCGATTGGGGAACAAATAAGGTTAAATTTAAATTTACATCTTACATTAAAGGTAATTTTTCCTATATAAACGGTTACTCGTGGAGCAAAAAAGGGTATTTTGTATTCGTGGGAAATTATGTCATCAGTAAAAGAACACGTTTCCGACCCTATAAGGTAAATATTTTCTTGATCAAGAATATTAATCCGTCCGTCGGTTTTAAATTCTTGGGAGCTAAGTCTTCGTTAAACATGTGTAGGCAGATCAAGTTTGAAAATCTCGTTCAGACGTCCTTATACTGTTTGTGAAGATATTTCGCGCAGTATAAAAGCTATTGAATGAATTTTTGCGTTTCATCCATTAATTTTAAAAATGAATTACCGTCTTGATTCTCCAAAAAGAACTTTAAAGATCCCACTTCAAAGAACAAATGCCACAATGATACAAATTATTGTAAAGCCCAGTGGCGGACCTAGGATTTTGTTGTGGGGGTGATATCAGAACAAATTTTTTTTTGCATACTTTTTGAATAACAAAATTCCTTTCATTTTTTACCCGAGTGGGGGATGATATATTACCCATATCACCCCCCGTGGATCCGCGCATGGTAAAGCCATTAGATAAAGATATCGCTCAGTGAAAATTGTCATTCAATTGAAATTTATCATTAAAACCGTTCCAACTTAAATTGAACAATTTTATAGCTCTGTTACGTTATCTCTTAACACACAGCTTTGTATACATTATATATGGAAATAAATCGAAAATGAACTTCTCAATAATCTAATAGCGTCAGATGCTTGGGAATATTCAGGCTTATCAACTTTGAGTTGATTTCCTTAGGAAAGGTTATCACAATTTTAGATTAAGCAGTTTAAAAAGTAAAATATACGGCACAAAATAAATAAATAATTCTATATTTAAATTCGAACATATTTGTAAAAAGTACGCTTATGGTAAAATCTCATTGAGTCTGTTAACCGCGAAAGAAAGATCCCGGCGTTTCCAGAGCGCCCACGTTGGGTCTCGAGCTGTTCCGATGGGCCTCAATGGCCTGGTAGTTTATGAACCAGAAGGGTTGGTTTTCCACGGGCAGCTGGCTCAAGTAGTTAACCCACTCCCGATCACCGTGAGCATCGACGGGAAGCTGGCCGAGAACTGGGGCCACTGGGGTTGGGGTGGTAGTGGTACTAGCGGTCGGGGAACTTGCAGTTGGATTTTCGGAATCAGGTGCTCCAAATCGGTTGGCCACTGCTGGAACCTGCTCAGGGGCAGAACTGCTTATCGGCAGCACAAGGGGAACTCCAACTGGTGGCCTCTGGGGTGCTCCGAAGGGCAGATTGATAAGTTCAGGCTTTTGAGAACTGGATGGCTCTCCGAATCTAGTAGCTATATCCACACCGGTTATATTCTCCACAGCTGTGTTTTGGGTTCCGTGGTATTTGTCCTTTTGACTTAGTCCACCTGGTGGTCTCAAGCCCGCAAAGGAGGGCCTTTGAGCTTGAATATTTTCCAAAAAAGCCATGGTGATGATAGCAAGTGCGAAAATTAATTTCAACATTTTTGCAAACAGATTTCACTTTTTCTTTCCCAATTTCTCAGATGACTCCACGAGATGTTAACTGGTCTGATCTGCTCCGACAACTGAGTACAGCCAGCTTGTAAGATCATTTAAATAAGTTTCGACTCTCAGCTCGACCGCAGCTTTTCTTTAAGTCAGACAAGGTGCACAGAAAGAAAAGTTAATCAAGTAACACTAGCTTTATGAAAAACGATTATCTGAGCGAATAATTAAATTTCAATTTAAAATATGTATTAAGTAAGCTAAAAAAATGTATAACATATAATCGTTAAAAATTGTATTATATAAACATTAACAAAAAGTGTATAAATACACAGTTAATAAATAAAAACATTTCGTTCTGTGTTTTAAATGAGGTTTTGATGGAGCTAATTAAATGTTAGGATCCCCCCATGATATACCTTTGTCATATGCACAGTCTCCCTATTTCTATGGGAAGTGTGCAGTCATTGTTTTTACTCAAACATTGTCATTTTTCTGAAGGCATCGTTCTTAAACTTCCCTACTTTATGATGCATAGAGCTTTTTTAATGACTTAATGTGCTCTCGCTTTCCCCCTTTAATTTCCGAAAAGCAGCAAAGTTTTAGTTTAGTTCTTAAATTATTTATTTAATTACTAATTGTATATAATTGGTATGCAGTGTATTTAAATGAATGATTTTATTAACTAATAATCATAATCATCCGGATTGCTGACGATTATTTCTTAATCATAGTTATGTTAATTACTTAATCATAATTAATTGAAAATATATATCACTCATATATGGGAAGTCATCAAATTTATGACGTATAAATGCAATCAAAGTTCCAGTTTACTCTCTTAAAATTCTTAGCAGAAAATAGAGTATTTATTTTTCGCTAGGGTGATATGACTACGTTAATTTCTTGTTTTTTTGCGGCTGGGGCAATCCCAAATTCGTCACCGCTTGGCGAAGCGTGCGTCCTCAAACCAGTTTCTGGTCTTCCCCTTCGCCCACTCACCTCTCCCAGTCCATTCACAATACCATCTCGATCGAGTTGGTAGGAAATTTTGTTTTTGGGCGCGTCTAGCGAAATTTCTTTCACGTCTTAGTTAGTGTGACTCACAGGAATGTCTGCCAGAAAAAGAACGTTCTATCTCAAAACATGATTTATTTGCTTTAAATTATAATCGAGTAGGGGTTTCATATGTATATGTATCGGTGTGTTCAGGTGAAAAAGTGTGCGCGTGTGTAGCTTTGTCGTCATCGTGTCTCGGTTGGATCGTCATGGGTTTTTGTTTTGAGTTGGCTGTTGGAATGGAAAAAAGATTATGAGTGTCAGTAAGAAAATTAATGCAATATTAATATAGCTCTGGAAGGATCTGTGTAGATTCAGAATTCTGCGATATTTGTTTATAAATTCTATTACTTCCCTTTTCAATAACTTAAAGGACGGATAAGTGAAAAAGACAATGCTAAGGGTTATGCTTAATTTAGTTGCTTGAAACAAAGGCATAACAGATAAAAGCATCGATTTGAAACAGTTGCTAACCTGCATTTTATTCTAGAAGCGTCGCACGGTGGAGCGGGCGGCGCTCAACTTGGCCGGACGTGCTGCAGCGGAAGCCAGACGACGGTAGGCCACGGGTTGGGCGGCTCTCCGGTAGTTAGCCGCCCTCCTGGCAGCTACCAAGCGAGCCTGCTCGGCCGGAATGTCAGCGGCGGGCAGATCGTTTCCGGTCACGTCCGGTGGGCCGTACACCTCATCGGGAGCGTTGTTGGGCGCAGCATCGGGCGGTCCGTAAACGGCATCCGGTGTGGGCTCAGCGGCCGAGGGAGCCGCCGCCTCATCGAAGGGCACTTCCGGCTTCAGCTCGTCGGCCGAGGGATAGGGCGTCACGGCGTCCGGATCACCGCCGTCCGCGGGAGCCAGCTCCTGGCGAGCGGAGTACCTCGAGCGTCCGCGGCTCAAGCGCTGCGAGTAGCGCTGCTGCTGGGCCTCGGATGCGGCAAGCAGGCTTAGAGCAGCAACCACGAGGATAACTTGAAACTTGGCCATGGTGGTTGAGTTGATGTGATGGAAGTGTATCTATGGGAAGGCTGAACCAACGACTGATGACTGGAAGAGCTCCCCTGGGCGCTTTTATAGGTAGGACTTGGATGGGCACCTGTTTAGTGTGCGGCGCGTGGACCCAGTGCGGGCATCCTTTTTTGGACCTACGCTCTGACGTCGGCTCACTACTATAGTCTTGGTTCCCCACGATCGGCGGTGTCTGCGGCGTCTTTATGCGCCTACGACGTGACCAGAAAGAAGTAGCAGATGCAGAGGTCCGAGGTTCCTCCAGCAATCAGTCCAAAATCAGAGAGTGTGCTCCACCTCGATTAAGCCAATCGCTCAACATTAAAATGCTCCTAATGTGACAGGAGGGGGAATTAATGGTTGCTCGTAAATTTGAGGTGAAGTTAAAGGATATTGGAAATTGAAAAGTCTATTCAAGAGTGACGGACTTAATTTGAGAATGACTAAAACTTAACTCACAATATGTTAAATGACTAATAAATCTTCTTTAACTTTCTACACTCAGAACTTTGACAATCGACTTTAATTTCAGGAATAATGTATTTAAAATGGCTAAACAAGGATAAACGTTTATCTTAAAATGACTCAAAAATGCGTTGAAGTCCATATGGTTTTAAATTGCTCCTCAATTTAAGTTAGGATACTTTTTTTCTGGGTACCTATAGATATTTTGTTAAGTGTTTTTTGTAATTTGTAAGCGATTGTATAACGTCAACAAAATGATATCTTTAACAAATGGTTAAACTGTTAGACTTGTTTGCGATTCTACAAATGATTTAAATGCCTTCTGGCTTTAAACTTAAAATGCCTAAAAATTACACATCTCAAAAAGTTAGTAGCTATATATACATTTAGTGTTAATTGTAAATTTCTTTCCTACAAAGTATTCTCTCCCCCCCATTAACTAAACCAAAACATCAATAGTTCATTTTATGTAATGATAGTTTAGGACGTGACTTAAAACAATCGTTTGAGGAATGGGCCTTGTGACCTTGGTGTTCACCTCAGCGCCAAATCGTTGATCGCATAAATATTGATTATAAGTGTTTAATCAAAAATTCTAACACTCAAACTGACAATTCCAGCATAATGCAATTGACAACAGTCGATGGCGACTTCGTTTCGTTTTCGCTTTCAATTGGTTAGGGATTGGATTGCGTATCACGTACGAAACGCATTTAATTTTCATAGAACATGGCGAATCGGACGTGGACATCGGACATCAGTGTGGCAGTTGGAGACCGGTGATAATGTGGGCGATGTGGTGGATGAGTTGGCGGCGGACGTGGTTTTGCCGGCGGCGACCAGAAACAAACAAAAAGCTATGCAAAATAAATCATTAAGTGTGCGCCTAATCGATGTCGTGTCGATATAGAAGCTTCATGTCTATATTCCCCGGGACGACTCTCGTTTTCGAGAACTTTGTATAAAAGTATCGCCCACAATCGCACCTGGAATCAGTTGTGTCTAAATCCGGCCGAGATCGAAAGTTCAGCATGCAGTGGCTTCTACCCGTTATCCTTTGCCTTTGGGGGTTTAGTCCCTCGCAGATCGAAGCGCGTCAGGTCAGGATTAATCGCTATGCGGTCAGTGTGCAGGAGGACCAGGCGGTTGAGGTTAAGGCAGCGCCCTATCCAGCAGCGGGCTATAGGCCGCAAGGTCGCTCCTTCTGGCTGCCAGGTGAAGTAGAAATTGAGGTTCAGGAAGGATCGGGTCTCGATGCGAGTCTGCTAACCACCACAACCGAGCTGCCTCTGGAGGATCTCTCGACCAGCACCACGGAGGCAACTGGAGACTGGAGCACCACCACCAACTGGGATTCCCTGGACACTACCACTGTTTCTCCGGCAGTGGACTCCCGTTCTGGTCGCGCCTTCGAGAAGGCTCCCTATCCAGCAGCTGGCTACCGACCAAGTCGCGCTTTTCGCCTGCCCACCGAGCAGAATCCGGAGGAGCAGCAGCTGATCTCCGCCAGCAACTCCACTGACAGCAATGCCGACCATCCCGTCTGTGGGGTCAGCACGGATCCCCTGAAACCCACACCGGAACCAGGATCCAAGGACGAGCCCGATGCGGAGAGTGTGGTCATTACTGGCAATTTGGGCCCTGCTGTTATCGTTGCCAGAGCTCCGTCCTCCATTCCGGTGGCCATTCCTCTGCGATCGCAGCCTCTAATTCAGGCTCCGAGATCCCGGGGATTCGTTTACACCACGCATGTGGAGCAGCGGTGGTGAGAGTTGCGATGGGAGCTATATTATAATCCTTGTTAACAGTTCAGTATTTTTAGATATTTGCGTGTGAACAAATAAATGTTTTCCTTTGTTAATTGATGTGAATTGTGTTTATTTTGCGAAGAAAAGCCAAAATACTAATAGGTATAGTAGCTCTTCTTTTTATTCAACTGCTGGTGCTTTCTTCAACTTGACAGCAAGGATATTCTAGATGTTTTTATCCGAATCCAAATCATAACGTCATCACTCTCATCGTTTCATCGACCGGAAGTTCTAGCACGTTCCAAACTTTGTTTCTCTAACGTCATTGAATGTTTTGTTAAATGTTGTTTTCGTTCCCAATTGAAGGAGGAGCCGCGTCAAGCAACAAACTGTTTTCTATCAAATTGTGACTGGCTATGGCTGGAGACAGCCAGAGAGTTCCTCTTCCCGGCATCCGTATTAAATTTGACGTGCGGATGTGCAAAGTTTTAACCGTGGGACGTGCGTGGCATGCGGAAAGGCGTGAGGCGTCTTTGGAGGTGGAGCTTAGGGCCTCCATCTCCCCGCATCCAGTCTTCATGGAGGATTCAAATTGAATAACGAGTATGCGAGTTTCTTCCGTCCCATCCGAGTGGAGGAGGAGCAGGCGGCGGGACTGCGAATCCACCGGAGAACATTGAACCTGCGTTTTTCCGAGAAGGACTTGTTGAGCGGGAGGAGTTTCCGTGGCAGACATTTATGGCAATATTTCTGAATTTTTTATGTGAGAATTTCGTGGGTTCAGCGCGGCATTCAATTGAAGCGACAGCTCCAATAAATGCTAACACAAAGTACCATATTTACGAACCGATTTGTTTTTGTCAAATCCAATTTAAAAAGGCAACAATTGAATCTTCTTTTGATTTAAATTGACCAGCCTACAATTTTAAAAAGCTCTTTCAATTTAATTAGTACGTTCTTATTTATTTCGTTAAAGGCTATTAGCCACTCGAGAGGTATATTCAAAAAATTAACAAAAGTCATAATAAAAGAGGTATGAAGAAGCTTTAACAGAGTCCGGATGACAGCCGCACGGGGTTAATTGATTCGCCCGAGCACGCCTCCTTGGCCAAGTCATCGCAAATTGTGCACGTAATTGACAATCAAAGGATCATCGAGGCTGGTGGGCACGATTTCGACGGAATGCACCACCGGCTGCAAGTGGACATCGCTGTCGATGTGCGTGAAGCTGGCTAGCTGGAGGTCCAGGTCGTCGTGGCTGCCGTCCACCAGCACGTACTCGGCCTCCGACTCCACGAGGGCCAACTCCACGGCCGCATTATTGTCGCCGGGCACCTGCGGCTGCTCGGCAATCGAAACAGTGGCATTGGAATTGTCCTGGGAGAGGGATATCGCCACGTTCGGGGGCGGGGAATCCACTCCGGCCGGGGTGGCATCGATGGCAAACAGCTTGGTCGTGGCCGGAGTTGTGCTGCTCTCTGTGGTCGGACTTTCTGGGCCGACCTCCTCCTCCTTCTGCTCCACGCCTTCCTTTGGCTGCTCGGTTGTGGTGGCCTCCCCATCGGCCTTGTTCTCCTCCCCCGCGTCATCCTGCTCCTCCAGCTGCCGCTCGTTCTCATGCAGGCGCTTGGGGGATGTACTGAGCAGCAGGAGCTTGCCGGACTTCTCTTGCAGCACGGCGCCATCCTCTTGTAGAGTACCCGGGGCGGGATCAATCATTATGCTGGCCTCCTCATCGCGACTCAAAGCAGGACCCGCCAAAGTGGTGGCCTCCTCGGTGGTGACATCCCCCTCTTGGTCCACAATAACCACACTAGTGGTGGTTTCCGGACTCGCCGCATCCCCTTCGGGACGGATAACAGCCGCCTGGACCAAAGCCAGGCAGAGAAGTGCGCAACCGAATCCTTTCCACATGTTCGCTGGTCAATTTGTTGACGATTTGATGGCAGTCCATTCCAGACGGGCGTATTTATACCAGTGGTTCCCACCCATTCGGGAGCTGTCATAATTTTAGCCCTGAGCATTTAATTTGACGCGAAACTTCCGCAAGCGGCCCAAACCGGAAATGTAATTCGCCCAGTCTGTGGGTGTGGGTGTGAGTGTCTGTCGGAGGGTGTTGTGCGAGTCTGTGGTGGCATTGAAGGAGGCCGAAAAGGCCTGGGTCGTTCGTTACACCTTAAGCCCCCACAGCCCCCATTGACCGCAACGATGGCCAGAGTGCCAACCCCAAAAAGTCACTTTACATTTTCGCCTTTACCTCCGCCGCACACACTGGATCGCCACAGTAGAGGTAAAAATAATAGTGTTTAAAAGTCAAAACAAATATTATTGTAATTATCACTTATTGATTTGAATTCTGAATAAACAAAATAAATAATAAATGTGCTGAAATCCTCAGATATATCTAAGTATGGCAAAGTAAAGGTGAATTTTAATATTTTTAAAGAGTAATGATTTAAATGTATTTAAAAACTGCAACAAAATGTCACCATATAAATTTACATTAACTTTAATTTCTAAATAAATGTTTTCTGTTGTTCCTTGACAAAATAAAATTAAGAATTTATCAAGGAATATGTAGGTTCCTAGCTAGTAATTTGACCTCAATTATATGTGCGGCCTATGTGTTGGTGCGTATCTGTGTGTGAGCTTGTGTAGTTTTGTCGGTTTAACTTTGTGATGAGCAAAGTTAGTGGCTTGACCGTGCCAGCTGTTGGACATGCTGGTCACGTTCTTCGGGTGACTTTGTTTTCGTCTTAAATGGGAAATGATAAAATTGAAAATAAATTCATACAAACACACATACTCACAGGAAATAAATGTGTCTTGAGGGCAACAACAATGGCAACAGGCTACAAGTTCATTGATTGCCTGTTGACCCAGAGAAATATTTGCAGGCATAAAATGCACAACAGTCGTTGAAGGGTTAACTTGGAGTAATGGCATTTGTGCGTGGTTTAATTGGATTCCCGAGGTTGCTTCAGTGGAATAGAATAGACTGGATTTGATCGAGAATACTCTTACGATTTTTGGTAACTTTATTTTGAAAAGGATTTAAGCTCCTTTACTATCCCCAGTGTTTTTCAAGTATAAAAGTACCCAAACAGATCCCCCCTTGGGAAATAAAAGTACAAAACTGCTTTAAATAATGGTATAGTATTTATATATATAAGTTTATTATCGAAGATTCAACACTACTTACGTTAAAAATATTGTACGTCTTATGCTTTGTTATTTCCTTATTGATTTCTGTCATTACTTGTATTACATCTGTTGTTCATGTTTGTTGTGTGGTTTTCGTCTATACCGAAATTTCTAATTTCATAAAATGAGTATGTGTCGTGTTATATGTAGATATAAATGTATAATAATTGCATATGATCGATGGCTTGTACATGAAGAGTGGGGGAAATTGCGAAATGGCCTGGATATACTCGTATCTTTTAGGTAACTATATGATTTTATGTATAGTTTAGTTTGGAGCATAGTCCAAGATCGATATCGATGCCACTGAGTGGGCGTCGAGATATGTGTGCTTCGTTAGATACAAGATTCAAGATACTATTAGTTAAGTACAATTATGATAATTATTGTTCAACGTTTATATGCAAATGTTGTGGAGTTCATAGAATTAGATTTCGTTTTTCGATTTCACTTTAGATGGTAACCTGTGTAAATGACACACGTATAAAATGAATTTACGCCTACTTACAAGTTAAATAAAGTTTTTCCGTTTTGTCTTACTCTTCTTTATTTTTTGTTTTTGGTTTGTGCTTCGTGTGTTTTTTGTTTTTCAAAAATCTACCTTTGTGTTTCTGACTTCTCTTCCTGCTAAACCTATCCAACTAATCCATTTCCATAGCCACCAGGAAGCGCGATATGCTCACTCATCTACCACTATCTAAACCCTTCTTTGCTAAATTAACTAAGTCGTAATTTAGGTAGGACTTACATTTAAAACGCTAATATCTTAGGCAAAACAGAATTTCATATTAAATCATAATTCTTTGTGGTCTGCTTTTAGGCTGAGCCAAAATTTAAAATTGAATAGGTAAATTTGAAGTTCTTGATTAATTTTTGGTTAATTGACAAAGTTAACAAAATATTGCACTTAGAAAAATGTCATTAGAACGTACAAATGTGGCTAAAAGCCACTAAAAACAAAGTTTAGACTAAGTGTCTGAAAAAAACAATAATACTTGACCAAAAAAAATTTAGCTTTGGACAATCTTATAATTAAATAAATTGCACGTTGGTTCTGTAAGGAATCCAAATGCGCATCCAATGTGCCCGAAACATCAACAACTATCAGATTGTCCCTCCGATTCAACCTCGTTCTAAGCAATATTATGAACTTTGGCCGACAGGCAGTTGTGCACGACAAAAACAACCGGCTTGGGGCAGCACTCCATGTCCAGTTCCTGCAAAGAAGACAACCAAGTTGCATTAAACTGGCATTTTCGGGGGAGCCGTAGGGACTCACAATCTCTCCGTCATCGCCAAAGTCCAGATACAACATCCTGGTCCCATCATCCGCGGAGCCCTTTAGCTTGTCGAACGCGAACTGCCACAGCTGCGTTTTGGAGGTGGCCACCGTCGGAGTGGTCGGAGCGAATCCACCGCAATCGTACAGAAAGAAGCCACGATTTATGTGCACAACCAATTGACACTGCCGGCCCTGGAAGAGGCAGCGGAAGGAGAACTCCCTCTGGTAGCTGACCGCCTGATGGGAGCCCTGAACGAGGGATCTGGCCCAGGCGGCCATGTCCCTATGCGTCTCGGAGCGCAGCCAGTAGACGAGAACGCCGCGGGCGGTGCCGCAGCGGACGCAGAACACCGTGGTCTGCTGGCCCTGCAAAAGGATACAATTCTTAAAAAATCTGCTTCAGGCCGAGGCCAGATCTCCGCTCACATTCAGGGAGGAATTGTTGCCGGCTCCTGCCAGACGCGTCGTGGCCAGGGCGTAGATTTCCAGGGGACGACTCCAAGCCTCCACCGACCACGGAGCACTCTCGTAAATCCGGAACTCACGCTCCGTAACCGCCACGAATATGGGCAGCCACTTGTCGCTCTCATCCGAGCTTTCCGAACTGGAACGACCGCTGGGCTGTGGATCAGAAGGCATATTTGTATACTTGGTTCTCATCAGATAAGGAAAGGTTCTACTTAAAGAAAGTGTTTGCTATTAGTTCAAATACATATAAATTAAAACATGATACATGATTTCATAATCCTCTTTTATTTCCTACTCAGTGGTTGATGCTGTTCGAAGCAATGCAGACTAGTACCGCAATTTAAAGATATCTTAAGGACAGAACTTTTTGAGCAGTCAAGTCGCGCAACTAAGATGCGAATCCCCTCTAATTTTTAAGGACCATACAAATGGTGGTATTATAAAGTTATTATCATTTGTCATTAAAATTGAGAAAGTATAGATTAGTATATAGACTACATTGATAGTTATCCTTAGAATTAAAGACCAACCAAAAATAATGTTTATAATCAGAAACCAGCTTTAAACACTTATTTATATATTTTTTGATAAATATAAAAAAAGAAATAATTTATACATCTTTGAAATGTCGTAACATAAAATCCGAGAACTACTAATAAATCAGAGAGTGATTCATTTGAAATATAAGAGTTGTGATTTGCTTTGTAGTATATGGGTTTAAAAATGTAGTATTTATTAATGTGGATGTTGGGTCAACTTACACTTACCAGCTCGCCGGCTACGCCGCTGTTCGAGGTGCCGCTGCCCCCGCTGGCCGCTCCACCCCCGGCACTCCCAGAACTTCCGCCGCCACCGCCGCTCATCCGCTTGCTCAGCCAGCCGATGTGCTTCAGTTCGCCGATTAGGTTGGTCAGCGCCCGATTCGCCTCGGCCAAAGCTCGCTGCGTGCTGCTGCCCATCGCCGAGTGGAGGGCATTGAACCAGACCAAGGCCTCTGCCGAGTCCGCTGCACGCAGGATGCAGGAGTGCACTCCGTCCGGCGAGTGCAGCTCGAAGCATCGATTCTCTAGAGGAGTAAGAAAGATGATCGACTTTGAGTATAATCTATAACAATATTTGGGAATTAGATAAATATTTTTATACCCTTGTAGAGGGTATTATGATTTCAGTCAGAAGTTTGCAACGCAGTGAAGGAGACGTTTCCGACCACATAAAGTATATATATTCTTGATCAGCACCAATAGCCGAGTCTATCTAGCCATGTCCGTCTGTCCGTCTGTCCGTCTGTCCGTCTGTCCGTTTCTATGCGAACTAGTTTCTCAGTTTTAAAGCTATCGCGATGAAACTTTCCCGAAGGTCTTCTTTCTATTGCAGGTAGTACATATGTCGGAGCCAGCCGGATCGGACCACTATATCTTAAGGCTCCCAATCAAATATAAGAAAATTCATTGTAACTTTGTAGGAAGTAGGCGTTTTGATTCTTGACTACTTAAAAACAAAATTGAAATAAATCGAAACGCTGAATCTGGAATCCCTGGAACTGCACCGAGTGAGTATTCTTTTATCTACAAGGGTATATAAGCTTCGGCTGGCCGAAGGTAGCTTCCTTTCTTGTTTCTAATTATTTTACATGCTAGGAATACGATATAATACGATATAATATATACGGTCGATTAACTTACCCGGGTCGATGTACTTGAGATTTCTGGCCAGATGCGTCAGCTGCAGCGGGATATATCGCGTATCCGCCCGGGGTGTAGTCTTCGGGGCGGGCGGCGAGGTGGGGACGCCCGGTCCCAGCGGACAGAGGAAGGCCCGCTGCAGTTCCCAGCCCACTTCCGAGATGATGCTCGCCTTCCGAAAGTAGGGCGTCACTTCGCGTAGGAATTTAACTGCAAAGCACACAGGAGGAATCCCACCAGGGATATATGTAGGCATCAGTAAAAATCAAACGATAGCGCATGAATATGGATACAGGAAGGATGTGGGGAACAGTGTCATCAGCACTCCCAGCATTCAATCAGAGGGAGTTGGAGCCTTCTTCGTTAAAGCCGATGTTGCTGTTGCTGTTGCTGTTGCTGCTGCGGCAGTCTTGGCAAACGCTGCGGCATAAATTCATTAGAGTTTCCGCTCCATTTTTATTCGATTTGCACACCCAAAGTCCCTCGACTGGCGTCGAACGCTTGAGAACAGTGGGCACAGGGCAATGACAAAGCGGTAAAATATTCTACCTTCTTATCTTCCAAAGGGTAAACATAAGTTTTATTAGAAAATGACAAAAAGGAAGCTACAAATAAAATCTGACTTAGGATATTGTCATATATTTTATTTAAAATAAAGATGTTAGAATAATCCAATTTTTTTGGCTTTAACTAATTACACTAATATGTTTGCTCTAGCTAAATATTTGTATAGCTTTTCTGGCTTTGACTATTATATCGATTTGAATTTAAAGGTTTTTGTGTTTCGTATGGATTACCTAGTAAGCCACTGTGGAACTACTATGCAAATCGTGCTGACGATGCCAGGTGCTCTGCCTCTGAGGGAAAGGGGCATTCTCCAAGTCTCGTATATCTAACTGGTAAGTCCCATACCATTCCCCAGCCAAAGCCCAGCCCACTTGATATGCTCAGAATTCCGCCCACAACATTTGCACAATTTCCGTTTGCTGTTGCCGCTGTCGCTGCTATTTCTGTTGTTGTTGTCGTCGTTTGCCGTTCGAGTGATTTGGAAATTCAATTTTCACACTTAATGCCATCGGCCGACGGTTGGCGGCGGTTTGTCCGACTCCATTCGTGTGTTTAGCTCAACTAATTAGAGCAGACGGCCACACGGCGGATGGGTGATGGGATGGCGGTGTGGGGTTGGGCCAGCGCCACCCAGTTGCTAATTGCTTGGCATTTACCGGGCACTGGAAGGTGGAAGCCGCCAGGGCACTCCAACTGCCCAAATCCCACAGGCACTCCTACTCCTGGAGTTCTGCAAACATTTGCATTCACAAATATGCAACCGACGACAAACAAACAGCCAAACAAGCGGAGCAACTAAAAATAAAAAATGTTGCATAGCGGCAGGCGCAAAGTGTGACGAAGCTTTCGGGAGAAAGGGGGATGGGGTCTTCGGGCGGTTTGGGATATTTGGGAGTGGACTGCAGAGCAAACTAAGCCAAAAACGACAAACGAGAAACGCAACTGGCAGCGGCAAAAGTTTAGATGCAACAGCAAAAACAACAATAACAACGGTAATAAGTTGTGCAAATTTTTGCATTTAAGTGTAAATAAAGTTGCCCGCTCCATGAGAGTGTGTGTTTGTGCTAAAAAAGCATTCTGGAAAAACAAACAAGTTATGGAAAAGTTGGCTAAAACCACCGCAGGCCACAATTGTTAGCTGCTTAAGTATGAATATTTTGCGCTTACATTTTTCAAATAAATATGGTATTACAAACAATCCACTAAGGATTAAAGTCAAGGATTTGCTTAGTGCTTCTGGCATGTGGGTTAAACCAGAAACGGCGAGTACAGCAATTTAATATAAGCCTCTGCTGTTTACGCAAAGTCTTTTTGAAAATTAATTTATTTGCTGGACGTGTCTGTTCAATTATTGTAAGCTTTTAAGTAAAGATAATTTTCTTTTTATCCCGAAACTCTTTATATAAATAACCATGCTCCAAAATTGTTTTGCAAACAATTTATTTTTCTTTTAATATATACCTTGAAGTATATTCGTTGGTTCCCCAATGACGCCGCTAATCTTCCTAAGCTCTTAAGAAATCATTAATTTAATTTGATCTAAGCCCCTTGCATTTTGCTTTACACTTCTCTCTGGGATCATCTTTACGATAATATTATTACTCAAATCGCATTCATTTGACGCCGCTCTCTCGTGGCTTTTAGCTCTTTCCACATTACCCCACTTAATTCACAGTCAGGCCAAAAAACTTTTTTACACCTTTGCCGACAAAAGGAAATCCTGAAAATCCGGCATTGCTGCCACCCCAAAGCATAAATCAAAGAGGCAAGCCGTATAGTGGGCGTGGCCGGTCGGAATATGATATCAACAGCAGGCGGCATTCGGAATTCGGCAAATCGTGCGTTAAAACAAACTTTGCGCAAAACTTTTGCGAGTAAAATCTCACGCGCTCCTGGGGAGGAAGTGGGCAGGTCGGCTAAGTAGGGGCCACTTGGGTGGTGCCGGTGGGTTGGATGGGTTGGTTGGGCGGGAAGGTGGGTTGGTGGGCGGATTGTTGGATCCGGTGGGTCCACAAATGTGTGCCAAGCTGTAAAAACCATTGCTAATGGACTTCTGGGAGGCGAGCAAAGCCAACTGTCGTCGCCTCCGTCGCCATCTCGGGAATCTGTCGCTGACATTTGGCAGTCGGAGCTGGAATCCAGTTGCAGAACCCCCGAATGCCGCCCGCCCCCCTGGCTTATTTAAATTACAATGAGACGGCTGCCTGCGCGCAAATACTTTGGGCCAAAGTTGTGCGCACAGCGGCCAGCGGAGCTTGGCAAGCAACTTGGCCAACTTGTAAATTGAAGTTCGAATCAAGAGCTCGGGCCGAAGTCAGTGGGCAGAAATGGGGCAGGATAGTTCTGAGCTGTTAAGCATGTCGCCGCCCATTCATGGCTAAAGGCTTTTGAAATTGTGATTACATTTGCGCCACTTTGCGTGCCTATAGATCTGGGCCACTTTAATTTAATGAACACACCGTTGAAATTATGAAAACGACCGCAAACCAAATGCCGAAAATCAAAATGCTCACTCAATAACAAAGCGGCCAGTGAAGGCAAGTTTCTGGCGCCTGTGGTGCGGGGTAAATTGGCTAATTGATTGAATTGGTTCATCGGGAGGGAAATGGGTTTTCCAAATAAGTGAATATCTAAATGTAAATGAGCTTAAATAAAATAAACTGTTATTGCTACTTAATGGAGTTTATAACTTTTTGATGAGCTTTAAAGACTTACAACTGGAAGAAGGCTTTGCCTGGGGTATTAAAAAGTGTAAGCCATTTTTTAATAATAATTAAGTATTAAGTAGATATGTTTAAATGAATATTAAGTTACAAATTGTAAAAAATAGTGATTGTAAAATAAATAATAATAATAATTTAGAAAACATTTTTAATATTTCAAAAATGTTATGTAGGGAAGATCCTAGTATAGATTACTCGTCGAATAAAATCTACAACCAAAAAGAACTTGATATGAAACGATGATTAATTTCATATTATTTAGTATAAATTTTGAATTGATATAGGGCAAATCGATTTGATCCCGGCGTATTGTTTTTGTGTGTATACGTTCATCGATTGAATTTTCTACAAATTGTAAGCAGAGCACCAAAACTTCGTAGCAGTGCCGAAAATCTCCGAAAATAGTTTCACCACTGTAATTGGCTCGCAGTAATATATTTTGGCCCAGAAAGGCGGCGAAATGGATCACCAGCGGCTCAACATGGACATGCGCTGGCCCAAAATTAAATGCGAGTCAGACTCTCGGACTGATACTGATACTTTGGGGCTCTGGGCTGCGTGGCATGCGAGGCACGTTGACGACGATGACGTGAGTCTTGGAGGGCTAAGCCCGAGATGGAACTGAAGTTTTGCGGGAGGGGTTGCTCGGCTGTTGATATTAAAGCGACATTAACATTGAGCTTGATGGCTGCTTTGATGGGCCACGATACGTTTTTAAATGCGCGAATATTGTCAGTTGTCCCATACATTCAGATTCCGATTCGGATTCGCACTGTGCATCTGGGATCGAGTGAGTTATCATAACCCCAGGCGACGGCAACGGCAACGTCGACCTTGCGACCGTTACTGAATTCTGATGGGAGAATCGGTTGCACGCTTGGCATAAATAGCGGGGCACCCACAGCAGCCGGGCACAAACCGTTAGCATCCGTCCACCAATCAACATGAAGAGCCAGCGCCAACCCATCCTGATCCTGGCCATGTGCCTTCTGGCCCTCTCCGCCGTTTCTGCCATGCCCCAGCGTCGGGCGAAGAGTCAGCGCCAGGTGGAGTACTCCTCCACCCCCTATCCGGCGGCTGGCTTCCGGCCCAGGATTGCCTTCAATCTGCCCGGCGAAGTGCAGCCCAAGCTCGAGACGGAACCACTGACCACCACCACCAGCGAAGTGGAGACCCTAGAGAGTACCGAGCCATTGAGCACCACCGAGCAGCAGCAACCGGAAGCGGAAACGGAGGCGGATTTGGAAGTGTCCGTCCGTACGCCCGCCAACACCTACGGAGCCCCCGGAGAGCAGGATCCCCTGGAGCCGGACACCGTGGAGGTGGTAGCCCAGGAGCCCGCCCGGGACTTTCAGCCACCCGCACTCGAGGCCGTCGAGGACTTTGCCGCCGATGGCGCTGCTGCTGCTGGCAGCGAGCAGCCTGTTGCTGATGTCCCTGCCCTGGGCCAAGCGGAAACGCAGGACAATGAGCCGGAGGCGGAGGTCAAGGCCGCTACCCCAGCAGGAACATACGGACCACCCGCCACCACCTACGGAGTGCCCGAGCTGAGCGAACCCGAGAACGAGTTGGATCTGGAGGAGTCCCAGGTGGAGCTGGTGGACGAGGAGGCGGCCGAGGAGGCTCTGACCAACGAGCTGGCCAGCGGACGCCTCATCCTGCTGCCCGTGGGCGCCAGGGGAGCGCAGTTCGGTCGCCTCATCCTGGCCGTGGAGCAGCCACGACAACGCTTGAGGAGCGAGCGACTGAGGAGGATCTAAGGATTCACCTGTCCATCTAAAAATGGGGATTATTCTAACGAAAATATACGTACTTGTTTCAACTGGACATTCGCTGCGTTTATGTAAAACTTATTTAACGATGAAAATGAAATTGGAAAAGGGTTGGGCCGTTTTCTCGTCCGTTTGTTAAATTTAAAATGGGGTTAAAACCTTGAAATCGTATGGGAAATCAGAGTTTTAACCCTACTTTAAACGGCGAGAAAACGGCCCTTAGTTGAGGCTTATTCAAGGCTTGTTAGATTTGTTAAATAATAATCATTACAATCATTATACTTCTAGGTATAATTTACTGAATCCAATCATTTTGAAACATTTTTCCAGGATCTTTAAAAGATTTGTCAAATACTACCTGGCATAAACGCAATATAATTAAAGCGATTGTTTAGCCGGAGCAGCTGGTGCCCAGGAAATGTGTGTGTCAAGGAAATGGAATTGGCTGTGTCAGAGGGGATTCCCCGATCCAACTCCAGCCTTTCCCCATCATTCCGCAGAGGAAGTTGTTTCAGCAAAATTGTCGTGCACGGTTCATTGCATTGTTTATGCCAAATGGTTTGGCTTGTGATTGGGTCACGCCCACAGGATGCACAAGTGGGTGGGTCTGGGATTGGCCCGCTGCGTGAGCGATGTGTGTGTGTGCGCAAGGACATCCACCCATACATCGCCTAATTGATGCTTACTATTGTTTATTGTGTTTTGTGCGAGGAGCCGAGCAAAGCGAAGCGAAAACACAACTGAATGGAGATGAACAGGAAACGATGCTCCAACTTTGCCCGACCACTTTGATTAGGCATTGTCCTCCCTGTGTCTGTGTGTCTGTGATTATGATTACGATGATGATGTGCTGGTGTGATTATGTACTTGGGTTGTTATTAGATCAGGCCCCGGCCCTGTACATTCATTTTTAAAGTGTCGGGTCGATGGGTTCGGTGCCAGAATATTTGCCTGTGCAGCGTGTTCTTGCAGATAACTGGTACTCACTGAACCGTTCAAGAGGTTAGATTAAATGGGAACAATATTACTGAGGAGTTTGTGGTTTGGATTTAGTATGAATTTACTTTAATAGTGGTTGTGTTTGCAAGGGCTGAGCTAATTTGAAACAGAGTTAAATGGATATTTATTCAGGTGTAAGAGCCGTCTTTAAAAAAGGGAAAATTTATGTGGAACAAGTGAATGAAATGACAATCTCTCGCAGAGGATATTATAGTTTCACCCAGTTGCTCTACGAGTAACGGGTATAATTATTAAAATTTAAGTAGAGTAAGAGCTTTGATGGCTGCCTATCAGCTGGGCTCCTCAAATGACCCTCCAGGCAGCTTAGCAAACCTCGATAATTATTTTCCTCCTATATCTTTACCTTTCTTCACCTATAGCCCTTTCCTTATTTATGTCTCCCAGCTTCTGCGTGCCAGCTACTCAGACAGTTGAGAATGCAGTGCGTAGCAGGCCATCGCAACATCCCAGCATCCAACCTTCCACAACCTGAACCATTTTCGCTTTTTGCCACTCGACGCCGCTGTGCGGGTGCACCACCCACAAGAAGCGACTATGTATTTTTGGGCCATTTGATCAAATGGAAAGAAAACTTTTCTCATTACTCATTGCCAAGCCGGGGCAAACAAACCAGGCAACGAACCAACCAACCAACCGACCAACCAACCAGCCAGCCAACAAACCAGCGCAACTAACGGCAGTCAACAGCTAACAGTCAACATGAAGCGGTGGGCCAAAAGGGGGGTGGATCTGGATGCTGGGGGATTTATAACAGAACCCAGCTGCAACAGTGGCAATAGCAGTCGCAGTCGCAGTGGCTGCGGCAGTAACTCGCATGTTTTGCTGAGTAATCCCACGTATGTATTTGCACTAAAACCCTCTGTTCCGCCCTTCCGACTCGCTACTCCACCATGGGACGGATGCCACAACAACGGGACAAAAAAGAATCCCTACTGTCGGTCAATTAATCACGGTTGAACAAGTTTGTAAAAGATTATCTGCGCAGTTATGGGGCGGGGAAGGAGGAGGGAATCAAAGACACAATTTATCACAAAAACAAGCAGCAGATAAAAAATGTTTCAAATTTATTGTTGCTAAGAGGGATCTGAATTTTGAGATGGATTTTAGTTCGTAGTTGGGGATTGCGATTAGAACTTTGGTCATATGTACATCGATGTTCTTGAATTAAGTTGTCCATGTTGTGAGCAGGATGTTTAAACCTAAAAAAAAATTTATGTGAAGCGTAGATCGATTTTACATAATGTAATATCAATTTTAACTTAATATGGGGCTAGGTAAATTTGATATGGTCGAAATGAGTGTTCATGTAAAAACGATATGGGTTTTGCATAACCATACATTTACATGCACATATCGATTTTACAACGACATGCTTATTTTTGTGGGTAGCTCAGAAAGGAGAACAGAAATTAAGTCGAACAAATATAAAAAAATAATAAAAATCCGATGACGAATAATATTGAGACTATAAAGAAATGATAGGATGTTATAATCTACCGACTCTAAATTTTAGTCAAATTACGCTTCTTCAACCCACTGTGCCCAACTGTTCGCGATGGTACTCATAGTTTACTTGTTAGTTTGACTCGCGTTTTTTAAGCTCTTCCCTTTTTCGGTACTCCACCTTTCCGATTCCGTGTGTGCGAAATGTTTTACGCAAATAACAATTTGACATTCTGGCACGGGGAGGGTAACGAATGTATCAGCGGTGTGTACTCACCCTCCAGATCCACCACTCGACCGGATCGCTTGAGGGCCCTCACCGCCTCGTCGTGGGTGGCGTCCCGCAGCTCCTCCCCGTTGACCGTCAGGATGGCGTCGCCCACGTAGAGTCCCTTGGCCTGGTCGGCGGCCATGCCCCGGAAGATCTTCGAGATGAGGATGGGCATCCGGTTCTCGCGACCCCCCTTTATGGAGATGCCCAGGCCGTTGTTGTCCGACTTGATGATCCGCACATGACGCTTCTGGTTGGCCACATGGTCAGGTACGTCGCACATATCCATGCCGCCCCCGTCGCCGGCATTGTTGTTGTTGTTCAGACAGAGATCCCCATTGTCGTTGCTGCCGGAGCCATCTAGCTCCGTGTCCTGGATGTTCATCCCCTGAAGCGAGGCAGAGCTGGGCAGGGTGCCGTTCTGGCCAGCTCCGCTAGACCCTCCGCCACCTGCGCCACCGCCTCCTCCGCCACTGTGATTGCTCCTGGGGAGAAACAGGATGGTTAAATTCGATTTGTCATTACTAATCATCCGCACAACTCACCCCAAGGTTCCGTTCAGGGTGGTAGACTGTCCATCGTTGGATGGCTGCGCCGCCTCACAGGATTCGTCGAGACTGACGGCCAGGAAGTCCGTCTCCAGCGTGACGAGAACGCGGTACCAGGCGCCTCGCACCCTCGTCTCCATGTTGCCGCACCGCAGTCCCGAGGGCGACGGGGAGTGCTGCTGCGGAATGGGCTGCTGGGCCGCCGGCGGGGTCCTCCCCAGACTGGAGGATTCCACCATGATTCCTCTCTGACTTCGATTCGCGGTGCTGATATGTCACTCTACATGGTAGTCGCCAGCATGGGCTAAAATGTTAAACAGTATAAAATATTTAGTTTTTAGGCTTAATTAAAAATATTGTTTAACTGCAACTTTCGGGCAATTCACTAGCACAAGATTGTAGTAAGAGATTAATAATTGCCCAGCAATAAAGTCAGTCCTTGCTGGTTTTAAAATTTATCAATTCACTGTGTCTGGAAACGTAAAAGCTTAGCCTAATTTATTGGTATTTGTGCCATAATTAACAATGTGCCAGTTGAACGGATGCTAAGTCATATAAAACTAATTGCCAAGATAAGGGAATCAATTTTTACTGTGGTCATTTAAAGAACGCAGTGCAAATGAGCCTGTTGCAGATGAGAAATGCTCCCAGCCAGGTGGGCCATTAAGATAAAATCACAATTTGGTTGCCAACGATTTGCAATTGAGTCTCAATGGGATCTCCAGTTAGACATGCAGATGACAGGAGGCAGAGGGAGGGATATGAAATTAAATGTCCGGCATGCGGATGACACACACGGAGGCAGAAATGCGTAGCGGAAGAGGGAACATTTGTCATTGTTTTGCCAGTCCAGGATTTATTGCATTCTCCGACAAGTCAAGAAGCACTGCTGACGGGCGGTAGATGGTAGGGAGGTGGCGACACCAGGGCCGGAATGCAAAAGCCGTGGCATTTGGGGCGTACAGCCTTCCATTTCCGGCCACATCCTTCCACACACATCCTTTCGCATCCTTGGCAGCCGCAGTGCAACAGTTCCCCGCTCGGAGCTCTGCAATTACGCATCTTGTCGCCGCCGCGGGACTTTTTTCTATGATTTTCTATTTGACAAGTTGCCACTCTCCGAGGAGCAGGACTCCTGCCAGAGATGCCACCGTGACACAGGATAAGGGGGGAATCGGACTGCTGGCAGAGACTGCGACTCCAGAGCGAGCATCCAATTCGATTTCGTGCTCACGCTCTCAACCGGAAAAGGACTGCTCCAGTCAGACACATCCTGTTTCTGTGATTGTGATTGCGTCTGTGTGAGTGCCATTTGTATGTACATTTCCGCTACGATTCAGCAGGAAGTAATTTTGCCGCTGCCGCTGTTGCTGCTGCTGCTGCTTCTTCCAATGTTGCTGCCGTCATCAAGTCTGTTTACTTTGCAATTTATTGTGCAACATTTGTAATTATTATTGCAATGCCGCAGCTCAAGGCCCCCACCGAAGACTTGGCGAAAATGTATAAAAAACTTTTCCAAGTGTGTGACTGCTTGAGACGAAGGACGAAGGCGCAACGTTGTCATCAACACGCTCATAATTGTAAGTAAACACACCCAAACATACTCAAGGCGTACATATGTATGTATTCACATTTAAGGGCAAGAAACGAGGGTTGACTGGTGAGTCTGGAAAAGTTTATCAAATGTACTACCCCCAAAAAAAACGTAATATGAAAAGATGATCAATTTGATATTGTGGTATCAATTTTGACTTGATATGGGGCATATCAATTCTATTGCTCAACACTTAAACATGTATTAAACAACATCTAAGAGGCCCAATTCGAACGTCGAATATGTCTTCTCCCTCCCACTCATGTATCTTTAAGCGCTATCCCGCTCTATTTCGAATTGAGAGATTTAGTTGTTCTTATTGATCAGAGAATCCACAAAACAGAAAAAATGGCAAAATGATATTATTTAAAATAATTTTTACCAGTATTGCATGGTAAAAACAATATGCGCATACATACTAGAAATTTACCACGCGCATATGGATATGATCCCTACGTGTCGCTTTTTGTGTGTAGGGTAGAGCTATGTCTCAATCAATGACAAACGGGAATTTACCAAAAGTCTTCTACATTTTTGTCAATCAAATAAATCAATATAATTTATGTTGTTAACCTAACAAATTATTTAAAATTTTCCTTAGTTTTCCTTTTGTAAATTGTGAGGAATGACTTAGCTACTACATTTTAAAGCCTAGAAGGATCACAAATGGGGTTAACCCCTTTTCGATCAGATTGTAAAGTTCAAACGGCAGTTGCACTCCAATTCCCTAAAAATGCTGCACAATGATGTCATAACATTAATTAAAAAACACGAGATTCTTATTATTGCACGTGAAACAATGAACTCACAACTGTTTTGCGACAGAACATAGCATTTCCTAAAATCACTTGTTTAATGCCGCATTCATTGTATTCAAATTGTAGAAAAACAAGCGTTTAAAAAACAATAGCCAAAAGAAATCGTAATTAAGTTTGAAAAATTCACCAAAATATTCCCACGACTATGTGGATTTCATTTTCAGAAAATAAATTATCGCAAGTATTCTCATTGTTGTTTGGTTTCTAAATAAATTAAATAAAAATTGTAGCCAAAGTGCAATTGTGTTCATCATATTTTCATACTTCTAAAAAGCTATAACGGAAAATAGAAACTAAATATTTGATAAATTGCGAAAAAGTTAAAGCAGTGAAAACAAACTCTACTAAAATAAATGTGAAATGTTGGTTGCGGCCCCGCTGACTTGGCCGACTGAGATTCGGACTGTTTGTAGGGATGTGTGCCACGCCCCCTTTGGAACACCCCGGCAATTGGAGCCCCCCTCAGCCCCGCCATGTCATCGCCTAATAAGCGCCGGACGTCGCTTGTCGCCAGCGTTTCTGCCGTTTTTCATGCGACGCTTTGGCTAATTTAATGCCGGGCGGTCATAAATTATGCGCCCAAAAGTAGGCAGCGCGAAAATCAGACAAAAAAATGGCACACAAATGCTGGGAAGTGGCAGCAGCTGCTGCAACCCATACATACACATACATTCACATGGAAGTTGCATTCAACTCGAACAGAATTTTTTCGCGCTTTCGTGTAATAACTTTTTTTGGCGTCGCTTTAAGGCATGCCTTTTTGTCAGATTTTTTGCCTTTTTGTTTTTTGTGCCAATTTTTTTAATGCAAACTTGGTGATGGGCGAAAATGGAGGTCCTTTGTATCGATATATAAAGCGGTAGCAGCGCCCAATGCGAAATTGCTATAAATACGTAAAGCGTTTTTCCTTCGAGTCGCCCCTCTCGCTCCCTCCTCTTGGCGAGCGGAAATATATTACCCTGCGTATGTGTGTGTGTGCGGGAATTGCGTAAGTGTGGGTCCTGTGGCGGCGCCATCAAAAAGTCATAAAATCATAATTTGTAAACGAGAATTTATTTCGAAAAATATTTATGGCTGGCTCTGGCTTCTTTTTGTTGCCGCAGAAGCTCCACGGAATTCGCGCTATTTGCTCCGTCCTGCAGCTGTGTGGGTGCGTATCTGTGCCTGTGTGAGTGTGCAAATGTTGCTTCATTAGAGCGAGTGGCAACAACTGGCGCCCTCGCATTGTTTCCCCACATTAATTTAATCCGCAACCTTTCCCGCCTCGACCCTGCATTTAATTCTCTTTATCTGAACCGGTCCAGGTTCCTGCATTTTAATGGAAATGTATGCAAAAATGCTGCGCCAGTTGATGGCGGAAAAGTCTCTTATACGTTTAATGGAATCTTGATCGTTATCGGCGAAATTGACAACGATATATTGCGGATGGATGGCGGCCAGAGAAAGCCCACGTTGAATGCTCGTTTAAAATGCGGAACGCTTTTTTATTGCATACTTGGGGGCGCCTGGGGAAATAGAGGGAGTAGCGCAGAGGCGTATGAAAAGCCCAGGTGAAAATCGTTTAATGTTAATGGGAAAATCAATTTCTAGCCATTGTGTCCAAAGGAGTGAAGAATAAATATTTTAGAATGAATTTCATACTTTAGGCAGGAGCTGTAATTTCCTATTTGTGAGAAAGAAAAGTTCCCCTTCGGAAAATGTGGATATAGAAATGGTAAAAGGCAAGGCTTTTTATGGTTATTTCACTTTATTTAAGCCAATTCATCGTCGTAAGCAAGTTCCATTTTCCGCCACTCTCGTTTTTTTCTCATTTGGCCCCACATCCGGCTTAGCTTCGATTAAGGTAGGACCCCACCGGAGAACACATGTCTTAACGCTTGGCCTTGACACCGCCATGAGCCCCGAGCCCTCGGCCCACATTGCGCCCACCTCTCGACCTCCCCAACCCCCTCAACCTGCACGACCTCTTCAACCGCCTGGCCACTGATGCCATCGAAGCCTCTTAATCATTCTTAACAATGCCGCCACACGTTGGGCCTGGCATTAAGCTCTCAGCCCGCTCAACTGGTGGAAATCGATACGCATTTACGTACATATATTCCGGAATATCTACATATAAATTGCGCACTAATGATCTTTAAATACACATAATACCCAGAACATGCCGCACACACAAATTGTGGGCCAGAAAAAGAGGGGAGATGCTGTTGGATACCCAGTTTGTTTAGTCATTTAGTTACCCGACTTTTTTCCGATGCTGTTAGTTATTTTTGTAATGTGAGATACTCAGCGGAAAGTAAAATACCCTTATGAGCTTATTAGAGCCACGTTTACACTTTACCAGTTGAAAAGAGACGATTAGTTTGGTTAAAGTTTCACAAGAAAGATAAGCAGCTCAAATAACATGAAGTACTATCAAAATTCAATCGCAAATATTGAAATGCAAAAGGATATTATGTTACTAGTCATTATAGTTACGTTATAGGTCATAACCTTTAAAGCAAAACTTATTTAATCCACGTAATTTAAAAGTTTGCACTTAGTGTTTGCTTTTAAACCTCAAATCCACATCTATTTATAACGTTTTACTATCGCCCATTTGGGTCCTAGTGTAAACGCGGCTTTCACAGTTGGCTTGGCCTCCTGCTGTCGTGTGTGTGGGATTCGGATAGATAGATTTTTCATGTGTTCACCGCAAAGCCGCCGCTGCGACCGATAAAAGCCAAAACAAACCTCCGAGATTTGCTTATTAGCACACCCGCCCACACCTCGCCCAGTGCCACAACATAACCTGACTCTATCTGACAAATTATTCAGCATTGATTAATTATGAAAATGCGTTTATATTGATTGTCGAGTGTGGGTTCGAGAGGCTTATGTGTACGGGGTTGCGTGTGTATCGGATGGTGGGGTGTGGGCGTTATGGCCACAGTTCTGGTGTTTGCCCAATTCCAATCCCAATTCCAGAACCACTTGCACGCCTGCTTATGTATATTAGTTGACAATCTGGGAAAAACAATTGCCAAGAACTGGTCGGCCTGACCTGGATGAATTTGCACGAGAAGTTTTTGAGCAGGTTAGGATATGTTTAAAGAGGTTTTTAAAAATATGTGTCTAATATTATTAATATATATAATAATATTTAAATATATAGTAATTAATTTTAAAAATATGTGTCTCATATTATTAATACAGTAAATAATATTTAAATATATGGTAATCAATTTTCGAGAATTATTGTTTTTGGACCTAGAAATATTTCCTCAGAAATTCTGTTCGAAATTTGGTTTTAGTATGCAAATTTTTGTGGAAAGAATACCTAATTATTAAGTCAATCACAGCTATCGTTGTGAAGGGCCATTAAAATCAAATCATGATACACAACCCAATTATTTTCCAGAGCCCAGGGCACGTCGACAAGAATCAAGGAGCCAATGGAACCAACTGATTTCGTGCAGTGCAGACCGACCTGGGGATTATTATGTATTGCCGTTGGCAAACACTCGACGCCCCCAATGCAAGCATGTAAATGAGACGTTCGGCTTGAAGGGGATCAGGGGACGGACAGGTGGGGAAGGTGTGCGGAGTGTCTGTAATCACTGAAGGCGGCTAACAGCAGGTGGCCAGAGACAAAAGTCAAACGGAAGACGGAAGAGGGGATGGCTTACGTTGCTTTTCTCCACTTATTAATTGCCAGTGTCTTGGCATAATTTCCACTCATTTGTCTGTTGAATGCAAGTGGCTGAAGCATTGTTCTCCCAGTATGGAATCTCCTCACGTACGGAAAGAAATGGCAATGGAGTGAATCCATCCGCCAGGCGTATGAACACACATACTCTAGCAGCACGGAGCAAAATTTATAGATAATATTTTTAAATCAAGGAAAAGCGTAACCTATATTATGATGTCTAATTATAACATGATTATTGATTCCTTATTATTGATTTTGGATTCTATGAGACCTTTTATAATCTTTTTTTGTATAAAAGAAATGGTTATAACTTTAAATGATTGTTACGTTTTCTTGTGCCTTTTGTTTTCAGTGTGCCTTTGCATGAAATGCAAAATGTGATGATGCAGCTTCATTAAGTGCAATTTAAGTGCGATATTTTCTCGACGGCACCATCGCCTCTCCGTCGCTTCGGTGAGCTGTTGAAAGGCGCGATGGATGACAAAAGGTAACGGAAACAAATGGAACAAGAGTCGGGCCAAGAAAGGACCTAAGCAGCTGGGTAGCTGGGTAGCTGGGGAGCTGAGGAGCAGGACGACCAAGTGGAAATGCTCTAATGCACGTAATTGCACGTCGCTCTGATTAAGTTAGCGCAATTTGGTTTCTTTCTCTTGGAGAGCCGGCAGCAGAATGTTAAGCCAAAAAGCGGATTACACTTCTCTAGAAACGTAATTTGTACGCTGAATATGAAAGTGATCTGGGAGAGAGCGCACATTTAAAGCGGGACCGGTCATAATTAGGTCGTGTTTTGTCAAGGATAATCTTAAAAGTGCACATATGCTTTGGTGGTTTTGGGGAATATATCTATAATCCAATTAAATGTTTACGCTTTGTTTAAAATTTGGTATTTATCTATGTGTTCCTGCAGTAAAAATATAACTAAGTTTGTAGAAAAATGTATTTTTATTTAGTCTATATTGACATTGAACACGTTCCTTAACATTTCACAGCCTTTCTTAAATCAATAATTTAGTTATTTTGGCTGGAATAAAATGTAATAAATATATATTATTTTATTATGTATCTACGCATTTATTGTATTACTTTAGACGTCTTAATAAATGGTTTTAAAAGCGAAGAGCTTGCATTTATTTTTGGCAATGAAAATAACAATATTCCATTTCTATCTATTTAAATTAGTTAACTAAGTTCAACAGTATTTACTGGGTTAACCAAATATTTTTATCACATGTACTGACTGAGTGTGCTCAAGAATGCAAAAGTTCTAAACGAAAACGTGCTCGCCAACCTCTTTCTACCTAATGAGGTAATGAGACTTTTAAGGTTTCACTTAGTGGTTTTATTATTATGGGTTTTATAAGTGCAGTAAGCTGGTTTGGCAAGAAAACTTTGAAGACAATCCATCTCCTAACTCAGCTGTAAAACTAATCGCCGTAGTTGAATCGTAATTTATTTTAATTTCGAACCCAAATACGGGTATGCAAATAAAATCCAGGACCCAAAAACTTTGAGCTTGTTTTGGTCTCGGTTACCCGACCCGCTTGCAATGGTAACACTCTAAGCCGCACTCAAGATGATGAAAATTGGGCTTCGTGGCAGGCACTACCCTAATCCCGTCGTAATAATAATCCCCCTGAAGCCCACCCACATTTTCAAAGGCAAAGCGAAAGGGAAAGGGAAAGGAAAAGGGCAATGGTAAATGGCAAGTGGCAAGAAAAAATAGTAGTAGTGGTTATCTGTCAACACATATCGGCGAATGCATGTCAATTACTGCTTAAATGCTTAGCACAAAAAGCCGGCAAAAGGTGCGGAGCGTGGGTGGTGGGCGGCGGTAGTGGGAGTGTGTGGGCGGGCGGCTTGGCGATGATGATGATGATGAATGCCGATAGTAAACGGAATTAACTTTCACGCAGCATAACGGCAACGACTGCAGCAGCGACTTGAATGAAAGAAAAAGCTTACGCCGTCGCAGAGACGAAGCTTTCCGGCAAAGCGCGCGTAGTAAATGTGCGGGTGGTGGCAAGGGGGAGGGGGCTCGGTTTCTGGCCATCATGCGTGGGTGGGCGCACTTAGATGACGAATAAATGCGCACGTCAAAAAGACTTTAATAAAAACTCGTCAAAAATAAAAGAGTTAATAACAAAGAAAACGAGTTTCCACCCACCTTTCGATCGTATTGCAGAGTACTTTGCGAAAAGCAATTAATGCACAGAAACTCGAATTGGCGCCTGCGCATAAACACACACCTACACTCACGCACACACACTCCCACTAGACGTCTGCTCCGTGTGTGTGTGTGTATTAAGGATTTTTTGCTTTTAACTTATTTTGATTTTATTACACTACTTGGCAGCTCCCTGGTTCAACAGCTCGAAAACTTGGTCGATTGATATGCAAACATTTACGCGACGTCAGCCAGAAATAACAATTAACAAATGGCTATAATACTGGTCGGGCAATTAGCTCTTCGGTTTTTGTCTGGCGCTTTTCATTATTATTGTTTGTTCGGCGACGGCGGCGGCTCAGTGGAAAGCCGTTGAAAAAGCGCGCAGCTGAATTCGTTGCCGTTAGAAAGTTGCGTTGCGAAAAACATACAAAAATACTAAAATATCCATCAACTTTTACTGCAATTCGGACATTATTTGAGTTGGATTATCCCAGCGATTAGTCGGATATCGAGTATGTTTCGCTATATTTTCTTAAATATTTTTATGGGAATCGGAACCAAACGCAGCGCGGGTGAGCGTCAGAATTAAAAAAATAAATGGTTGCGGGTTGCTTAAATAGACTCGGCGCTCACCCAAAGCTCGCTCCCAAAGCCAGCTTAGCAGCTCTCTGCTCAATCTCCCCCGCTGTTGGATTTCTGTTAACCGAATAGGGTTGTTGTTAAATTGTTATTAATTTGTTAACAAATAATTAATTTGTAAAATTAGAATTAAAAATAAAATATTTGTATGTGTCAATACGAATTTATTTGAAAATGGCTTCAAGAGTCGATTTGAGTCGGAGTCTAAGTAGGCAACAGGGTTCAATAAAGTGTTATACTATAATCACAGCACATACACAAACCGTAGGCGCTGCATATGTATAACAGTACGAGGGAAAGATGTTATCAGAATCAGCTGTTCTGGAAAACGGTGACGGTAAGTTACTCTGTTAAAGCAACCACTGTTAGTATAACAGTTAGACTTTCGACTTAGTAATTGAATGAATACATAACTATTTATTAAACTATTACAAGAATTATCTTCCGCCTTTAACATATAACTACATATTTTACGTTAAAACAATATTAGATCAAATTTAAAAAAAAATTTTGTAACAGAACGCACAGCATTGCCGTATTGATAAGAAAAAACGTCAGTGCTGCCAGATCAAGCGAGAAAGATGAGTCCAAGGTGTCCTAGACTTGGCGTTTTATTTAAATTTTCGTTTAAGTTATTTAGTTAAATAAATAGTTCGCTTTTTTTGAATTTGTGCTGAAGGAAATTTATGCTATTTGACGTTTTTCAACTTTAAGCTGACCAAAATTGTATTGACAATGAATGAAAAACAATAAATATAAAACAAAACAAATGTTTCAGGATTCAGAAGGATGCAAAATAAAGAAATTATAATAATAATAATAAGTTAGCCGAAGTTTATATATATATACCCGCATATCGTACCTTTGGCAGATTGTTTTATATTACAAACATTTAACATTTCTATTTACTTCAGTTTATGTTAATTATGGTAATGTTTAAACAAAAAACAAATTAAAGCTGTTCTCGTATTAAAACATAGAATTCCCAAAGGCGAGATTTGAAAAATTTTAAAAGGAATAAGAAAGGAATTTAAGTTTGGCTAGTTTAATGCTATACAAAATACGAAAATACAATACAAAAAGCATTACAATTGGTTTCGTTCTGAATAGAGTCCTGCATGAATAGATTCAATTAATTATTTTGAATTTTTTGTTTTATTTAAATATATTAATTAGTAATTTGAGTTTAATAAAATTGAATGAATGAATGGCATGAATTCCAAAATAATTCAAATTACAATTTCTTTTGAAGAAGAAAGGCCCATAATTATACCCGTTACTCGTAGAGTAAAAGGGTATATTGTATTCGTGCAAAAGTATGTAACAGGGAGAAGGATGCGTTTCCGACCCTATAAAGTATATATATTTTTGATCAGGGTCCCTAGCCGGGTCGATATATCCATGTCCGTCTGTCTGTCTGTCCGTCTGTATGAACGCTGAGATCTCGGAAACTACGAAAGCTAGAAGGTTGAGATTTCCCACACATATTCTTGGGCTTCCTACGCAGCGCAAGTTTCTTTCAGCCGAGTGCCACGCCCCCTCTAACGCCCATAATCGCCCACTAACGCTTTTAAAATGTGTCTGGCGCCCATACCTTTAAAAATTTCCGATAAGTATAAATTCAATTTTGTTGTGTATATTTATACCTATCAAAGTGCAGAAGACATTTTTCAAATCAGATCATTAATTAAAAAGTTATGCGCAATAAAAAAAAGTTTATATAACCTTCTCCCTCGCACTCCCTTTAGCCGAGGGACGGGTATTAGATAGTCGGGACACGAACCCGACTATAGCGTTCTCTATTGGTTTGTGATTAAATCTGACTGAATTTAATTTACTAAGCTGTTAACATTGATTTATTAAAAATGTTCCACATTTTGTTCTCAGAAGAAAGCACAAAAAAATCTGGCAAATTAAAAAAATTCATAAAAATTATTTATTCATTCATTCAATTCGAAATGAATTAGAACAAAAAAGGAAGCTACCTTCGGCCAGCCGAAGCTTATATACCCTTGTAGATAAAGTAATTCTCACTCGGTGCAGTTCCTACAAAGTTACAATGAATTTTCTTATATTTGTTTGAATATTCCTATGGGAGCCTTAAGATATAGTGGTCCGATCCGGCTCGCTCCGACATATGTACTACCTGCAATAGAAAGAAGACTTTCGGGAAAGTTTCATCGCGATGCCTTTAAAACTGAGAGACTAGTTCGCATAGAAACGGACAGACGGACATGGCTAGATAGTCTCGGCTATTGGTGCTGATCAAGAATATATATACTTTATGTGGTCGGAAACGTCTCCTTCACTGCGTTGCAAACATCTGACTGAAATTATAATACCCTCTACAAGGGTATAAAAACATTCAATTTATTTCACATAGAATTGAATTAAACAAATCAGAAATTTTACGGCATACTATTATAAAACAAAAATTGCATGATTCACGCAGGGCTCTAGTTCTGAAGTATAAATTTGGATTTTTGACAATTTAAAAACAAAATCTAAAATAAAATTGGGCAATGGGAACGGGACCGATCGAGGGAGCTCAAGAACATTGGTTACGATAGATAGAGCTTGAAGCTTTCAAACAAGATTAATTAAGGGTAAACAAACTTCGGCATGCTCAGTTAACTCCTTCATTGCTTAGAATTAAAGTACAAAATAACATGTTTAAACACAATTTTAATTTTTTCCTTCAGGTGACTACTTTTGTTTTAAGTTAATCGTACACATTTTTTTTGGTGTGCGAAAATGTATAAATTTATCAATCAACAACGTATAATATTCTGATAAAACTTGAATTTAATTTCTAGCTACTTAGATCCACGAGAAATTAATTTTTGTCGTTCTGTTAAAATATTTTTGGAAGTAGTAAAGTTTCTTTTTGCACCGAGATCCACCCATTTTCAGCTTTCCTGATAAGATATCAAAAGGAATGGAAGGAATTTTCTCCACCACCAGATTTTCGGGTGGATGCAGAAAGCAGAAAACTTTTCCACGCATCCAACGCATTTTTCACTAGCCTAGCTGCAATATCGGTAATCATCAGCTGCAAAGAAAATCGTGCCGTTGCTTTGCCTTTGCTTTGCTTTCGATACACAGAGAAAAACCATTTTAATATCTTCTAATAAAGGCGGAATTCTTTGACGGATTAAGACTGATTTGTTATTTCTTATGCAATAGAAATTACAACAAAAAAACAAGAAAAGGTGGATCGAACACGGTATTTTTTAATCAGCGACAAAAGCTTTCCTGAGTTGACTACGAAGAACAGTGGCGGATCTAGGATTTTATTGTGGTTGGTGGGAAAAGGGGTTTTCAATACAAATTTTTCGAGAAGAATAAATAAGTTATACATGTCGTATTAGTAACTTTTACTAAACGCTTAGAGCCTTTGAGAACCGCCTAAACATTAAAATACCATTTTGAGTTTTGAGAAGGCGAGCTTATTCTACCTTATAATACTCTTCCTAATGTAATGTAAATAAATCTTATTTCGGTTCCGGTACTGGTCCCAAACGGAACCTGCTTATTCGGTAAACGGTTATATTTCGGTATTGATGTTTTGGTTCCGGTTCTTATTCCGGTACGTACCGGTAAAGTTAAAAAACATTTCCATTAATACTTTAAAATGATTTATGTGAGTTTTATTTGGAAAAAACTTTAATGTAAGATCATTAAAATTAATTTGATTTTTTTATATAAAATATACAAATATACAAAAAATAACGCGTAGAATGGCGGCAAAAATGCCAGATTTTCGACTTGTTTAGATACAGAACGTTTCTGCCTGAGCGATATTTTCTTACATGAGCAGTACATCTGCTAAAAAGGGAATGGAAGAAGTCAATTAGCGGAAAGTGGGATATTATTTGGATGGATATTATTTTATTCAGGATTTTTAACAAATGTAGTAAATGAGTACCAAAACCGTACCGGTACCAGCAACACGGTAATCGGTTTGAAACTAAACTTTTATTTTGGTTTATTTCGGTTATCGGTTCCCGTTCTGGTTTTATTTCCTTTATTTAACCAAAATAAAAAATACATTAGGGAAAAAATAATTTAAAAATATGAAAACATTTATAAATGATTTTATTTCTTAATTTATCTAAAAATGGTAAATATATTAATCACATTGAAAATACAAAGAAAACTAAGGTAATTTGAGAAGACTAAAACTTTTTTCTGTGTAAGTGTGGGGGTTTGGGCCCGTCTTCGTCGGTCTTGGCCTGGCCAATTATGCACCGCGCGCCAAATGGTGAAATCGATGAAGATGCACAAAATGCAAAACGCACTCTCGGCCCGCCTAATGGTCAATATGGTGATGGCCAGCGAGCCAGCGGGCCTGCTATCCTCATGTACAGTATGCTGGTCCCGACAATTATGGCCAAACAGGCAGTGTGGAGGAGCTACAGGTGGGTTGTGGCTCAAATTCGGGTTTTTCGGCAATTTTATTTGTATTCGCATTCGGCTAACGAGCTGTGAATGTGATTATAACTGCCAGAGCGACATACGAAAATTATGTTCGAAATGCAGTTTGGCCAAAGAGCACCAAGGCAGCGGAAGCAACGGGAGCGGTACCATGCTGCAGCGTCAAAAACAATGGCCAAGACGACCAGGAGCTGTTGCTCTCGGATTAGGCAACCATGGAGTGAAAATATTTGCTTTTCCATTGATCTTCTTGTTTGCCGTTGTTGCTGTGGCATTGTTTGTTAATGCTTTTGGGCCCGGCCATGGTCCGCGGCAATAAAATATGAATTTGTCTGGCGATTTCTGTGCTTTAAGAAGTGAGGCGACTCCATTTGGCCCGTCCCATCTAACGGCAATTGATAA